TCTTGCCTGTTGCAGATTTCTTTATCCGTCTCTCCTTTTGAAACAGAATTGAGTGTTCTGTTAATGAAACTCATTTTCCTTTATCCCATTAAAATATGGAAAAGGGGGATTGCCGAAGTGCATATCCCAAGCAGGCTGTTTTTCCTGTGGCAGAGGCTGCCTGCAAGTAGCCCTACGCGTTGTTTCTTAATAAGTGTCACTTTTTGTAATGACAACATACTTGATTAGAATCCCACTGGATTTTTTGCATTTTGGTGGCTCATATGCAGTACTTAGTTTGTTGTGAACACTTTTAAGCACATGCACGCTCAGTGTAGCTTATACTTCCTTTGTAATTTCTTTCTTTTTTAAAAAAGCTTTGTTATTCTCTTTAAAAATAATTTAAAACCTGTATAGTATTCAAAGCACGCAATGTAAATATTTATTACTCAAAAAAAAAATAGTGGAGGGGTTTTGGGGGTGAATTTTTTAAAAATCTTGTTCTAATACAATGTCCTTTTGACTTGGAAAAGGAAATTAGTGTAACCCGATAAACCCACTCTGTGTTCCCTTAAAGAATGTCTGTTGGTTTGTTTGAACATTATAAATATATTTTTAAATTTCTCTGATACCTTTTTAGTTTTGGAAATGCCTGTCCAAAGAAGATGTACAGTGTTTCAAAACTTCAAGCCTACTTATCTATACATTAATTTTCTTACCCTTTTCAGTTCAATAATCTTAGAGCTGACAGTGGCATAAACTCCTCTTGGGTGTGCATATATATGATTGCAGAGAGTAGTATATCTGTATATTAATGGTGGTAGTTATTCTGTCACTAAGCGTACATCAGTATTCTTGCATGGTAACTTGGCGCTGTTGCGGAGTAAACCAAGGATTTCGATAAGGGAATGGAGTAGATTTTTATTCCTGCAACCCACCCATCTTTTTCAGGTTACGTGGCATGGTGGTGTAACAGCATGACAGAATACAGTTAACATAGGATGATTATTCAATTTACTGTAACACTAGATTTCATTGCGATGTAGTTTCAACAGAGTTACAGTGCCGGGGTCATCTTTACCACTAGACTATGGAAAGTAGATGGGAGTCCATTACTGACTGCATGCCTTGGAGAACAGTTATATGGCACATTAGAAAATGTCTTGCTTTTTCAAGCAGTGCTCAGCAGCCTCACGCCATGCACTGAAGTCCACTAAGGAGTAAATGAAACTGGGAGTTGACAGCAGAACCCCTCTAGTGCCAAGTGAATTAACCCCTCTAGTCATTGAGATTGATGTAGGGTTCTCATTTCAGTCTGCCAGTAGAAGAACACAGCTTCTAATTGTGTATTAAAACAGTCACCTCTAAGAGAAATCAAAGCACTTGAGAAGCTATCAGCTAAGTGTTCTTGAGTAACAAAAGCCTGCATTAGTACACTCCTCCAATGTGGTACTTGTCTGGACAAAATGTGTATATGGCTAAGAAGGTGAGGCAAGCACTGTACACACACAGGTATCCCTACTTGAGCTCTTCCTCATGCCCACTCAACAACAGCTTCCTTTTAAAAGATACTGAAGTCAGTCTATATTATAAACCTGCTTGATCGACAAGCAAGCCTACAGAAGCATCAACTCCTAATTGACCACGACCAAATTGAATCCTAAAGTGGTCATCCAAGCATCAAGCATGAGGAGAATGATCAATTACTCCAGCCCTGCAAGATTCAGAGCCAGAGCAGCCGTGGGATTCGGCAGGAAAACTGCTAACCCCAAAAACTGGAACTCGCATGCAAGAGCAGAATCAAATAAAACCAATTCACTGGGAGAACATATTCTCTAATTTGCCTGGTGAACAAACATGTCCAATCTGACTTTTTTTTTTTGCAAAGATGAATGGTTTGAGCCGCCTCCTAGGAGTCTGAAAGGTATCTTTCTCCTCTTGGTTTTGTTTTCATGCTTTTAAGAGCTATTTCCTCCTTCAGCTGTTCACTGTAATAGAAGTATCATTTATGTCACAGTATTTATTCCTTACAAACCTTGTGTGACATGCTAGGGTTCCCATGGATGTAGCTGATGATTATTTTGTAAATATTAATTACTTAACTATACATAAAACTGTATCGTAATAAACTATTTTTGCACCACCCTTGGCATGCTGTGGAGAAGATTTTTGTTAACACTAGATACAGAGAAGTTCTTGAAATAGCATTCCAATGTTTTTGCATCCTTCAATTAGGAATAGAAGACAACAGTCAAGGATGCTATGCTTACTAATAAAAGGATCTATGCAATACAATTGTGGAAAGCCTCCGAGTACGTCCATCTGCTCTGGAGAGGCATTTCAGGGCAGATACACAGCAAAAATAGCACACGTGAAATTATTAAATGTCCAAAGAATTTAATAGTACATAAGGATGATTGTAGCAGCTATCCCACCTGCAGTTACCCTTCAATATAAGTTAAGTATTAAGAAACATTTTATGAACTATCATTGGAAGGCCACAACGATTACAGTACACCAATTACTAAACGGCTTCAAGAAAGGCTGAGCATTCTGAACTAGTGATAAATTACTATTCATTACCACATATTGTTTCTGTAGGGACGCGGGTGGCGCTGTGGGTAAAACCTCAGCGCCTAGGACTTGCCGATCGCATGGTTGGCGGTTCAAATCCCCGCGGCGGGGTGAGCTCCGTCCTTCGGTCCCAGCTCCTGCCCACCTAGCAGTTCGAAAGCACCCTTAAGTGCAAGTAGATAAATAGGTACCGCTTTATAGCGGGAAGGTAAATGCCGTTCCGTGTGCTGCTCTGGTGCCGGTTCGCCAGAGCAGCTTCGTCACGCTGGCCACGTGACCCAGAAGTGTCTGTGGACAGCGCTGGCTCCCGGCCTCTAGAGTGAGATGAGCGCACAACCCTAGAATCTGTCAAGACTGGCCCGTACGGGCAGGGGTACCTTTACCTTTATTGTTTCTGTATGTGTTTTGCTGACAGTTTTCAAAAACTAAAAGCTAAATGAATATAGCTGCTTTAAAACAGCATATGACCCTGGAAAAAGTTTTATGACTGTGATCCACTATCTTCCTCCCTCCTCCTCTTTAAGGAGTACACAACATATTTATTTAAGTCACTACAGTGTACCCACCTCATGGGTACAATGGAGTTTCTACTGTATCAAGAGTACTGTGATAACCACACATACACTCTATTTGGAACAGCTTCAATACTTTTGGAAACTCAACCACTGACAGACTGATTCAAAGCCCTTTAAAACGCTGGTGTCCATAGAATCATAGAGTTCTAAGTCCAACCCTGTACAATGCAGGAATCTCTAGTATCCATTGACAGATCGCCATCTAACCTCTGCTTTAAAACCTACAATGAAGGAGAGTCCACATCTTCCAAAGAGAGTCTGTTCCACTGTTTTAACAGCTCTTACTTTCAGAAAGTTCTTCCAGATGTTGAATATTCCTACCTCAACAGTTCCCTCCCCAAACTGGCACCACAAAATACGCTTACACCAGAGTTGCATTTCTACACTTGGGATATTGGTTATGGCTACAACTTACATGCCAACATAAGGTACCTCTCAGCCTTATTCTGCACCCACCCATTTATTAGGACAGGCGGGTGTTTTTAGTATACCCTCTTCAAATTCCAGCTGATGTTGACTGCCCAATGGCCATCAGTCCCACCCAGGATGGCCAGTGGTCAGGAATGACAGTGGATAAAGTCTTAACACCTGTAGACATGCAGCTTCCCCACCCACTGCTATACCAAGTTCCAGTTCTGTTTGAGATTCCTCCATTACAGGGAGTTGACCCTTAAGGTCCTTTCCAACTCTACAATTCTGTGATTCTAGGGCTGAATTCTACACATGTACAGTCATCGAATCACAGCTGTAGAGTTGGAAGGGACCTTCAGGATCATCTAGCCCAATCCCCTGCAATGCAGAAATCTCAACTAAAGCATCCATGACAGATGGCCTAAAAAACCCCAAGGAAGGAGAGAGCACCACAAGCTTCCAAGGGAGTCCATTCCACTCTCTAATATCTCTTACTGTCAGAAAGTTATTCCTGATGTTTAGTTGTAATCTCCTTTCTTGTAACTTGAATCTATTAGTTCAGGTCCTACCTTCTGGAGCAGGAGGAAACAAGGTTGCTCCATCTTTCATGTGACCTTTAGATTTTTAAGATGGCTAACCTATCTCCTCAGTCTCCCCAATTCCATGCTAAACATACCCAACTCCCTCAAACCGTAAGGCTTGATTTCCAGACCCTTGATCATCTTGGTTGCCCTCCTCTGCACATGTTCCAGCTTGTCAATATCCTCCTTAAACTGTGGTGCCCATAACTGGAAACTATTCCAGGTGTGGTAAGACCAAGGCAGAATAAAACAGCAATACTACTTCCCCTTCCACACATGAAAGAGCAGCATATGAATTATCTGTGAGTTAAGCACACACATTCATTCCCATTCACACACTGGGCATTTATTTTCAAGTAGGTCTGCTTTATGCTGCTCACCTACAAAGGCAAATTGTTCTATTCTAATTATTTTTATTATTTTTATTTTATTTATACCCCACCCTTACGGCTGGGCTTCTGGATGGCTTACAGCATATCTAAAAACGTAATAAAAACATCAAACCTTAAAAACCAAAGGGGACAAAGCTGTTCAGGCAGCAACCATTTTAGGTGCATCCGCTATGTGCGCAATCACGCACACAAGCATTGCACTGAACTTGAAAGTGAGCCGAAAACATCACAAAAGGGGGCGGAACAGGGTATTTGCAGGCTTTTTCAATCGTATTTCAAATATATGTGATTTAACTTAAACATGCAGTGCCTTGGAATGTAAGCATCACATCAATTTGGGAGTTGGCTGTATGTTAAAAAGGTCCCCGCCCCCCAGTAACATCCTGCAGGTGGATGCTAGGGTTGCCAAGAGAATGGCAGAATAAACACTCTTCTTGAAATGCTATCTACATGTGGGTACAGTTGTTTTTATAACAGAAACATATGTATTAGAATTTAAAAAGCACGCTTTATTGAGAACAGGTATAATAGCACATAAGTACAGGCCATCTATTTCTCAAAGAATAATTCAAACACACAATATGTTGCTTGTACAATTTTTTAAAGGAGCATAAATTTGCATTTAGTTACTCCTAAAGCAATTTATGCCATTCTCAAACACATAACTTAGGAACTAGTCTTTAGACTAAAAAATTTACTGCTTCAAAATAGTCATTTAAGCTGCAATTTTGTTTGAGGAAAAGTTTTATCCTTTTTCTGTACCTGCTGTTCTTCTTTGAGGAAAAATGTGTAATGAGCCGGATTGTAGTCCTCCCAAATCCTTTCAAATTCTGCCAGGAAAAGATTCACACAGTCCCTGTCTTCAACTACCAGCAGGTTCTCTCTGTTGTTTTGAATGGCTTGAGTAGTCCAGTTCAGGGAGCCAGTGAGCAGCATTTTTTTGTCAATGATGGCAAACTTATGGTGCATGTACCCACTATCCTGATCATGACGTACCTGAATTCCTGAAAAACCAGCATACCCTATTCAGTGCCACAAAATCACTTTTCCATCTTTCCACGAAACTGACTTAGCTCCCAGCACTATACGTAGTGTATTGAGAGCTACATACAGAAATTCAGTGGCTGAAATTTCTTAAGTTTATGAGAACACAGGGCAACTTGTGGAATTATACCCTGAAATGACTTTAAAAAGTTAAATGACGTTAAACAGACATGACCGCCGTACACGCTGCCCAGGCTTGCATCCTGGAGAAGTGCCGTATTTTTCGCACCATAACACTCACTTTTTTCCTCCTAGAAAGTAAGGGGAAATGCCTGTGCGTGTTATGGAGGGAATGCCTACGGGTGGCAGGGGGGATCTGCTGCAGTCGTGAGCAGAGAATCCATGGTTCCCCTTCCTTCCCTCCTCCGTGGCTCGCTTTGAAACAGCAAAGCGGGAGAGGAGAGCAGCCTGTTCAGTTGGTTCCTTTAAAGCAAGCAGGCTCTCTGTCGCTCTCTCCTCCCCACTCAGCTCGCTAAACAGCAGCAAAGTTTTTCAGCTCGCTAAGCCGGGGATGAGCGGGGAGGAGGGAGAAAAGCAGAGCCTGCTTGCTTTAAAGGAGCAAAGCGGGAGAGGAGAGGAGCCTTCTCCCCTTATACCCCTCTTCTTCATTATTAGCAGCATCCTTCTCCACCCACCCCACACATGCTCCTTGTCCCTTGAGTGCTTTTCCTTCCCTCCCCACTTAAAACGTGGTTACAAAGCACGGATCCACATGGATCCTCAGGATTTTTGCACTGGGTCACCCCAAATTCACCATCAGATCACATAGCATGTCCATGGCTACATCTTGCACCAAAAAAATTACGCACCCACTGTTGCCTGGGGCCGCAGTGGTGCAAAAACGTGGTTACAAAGCATGGATCCAAATGGATCCTCAGGATTTTTGCATTGGGCTACTCCAAACTCACTGTCAGATCGCATGTCTGTGGCCACAGCATGAACCACAAAAATCATAACCCACTGTTTCGTTTAGAATATTTTTTTTCTTGTTTTCCTCCTCTAAAAACTACGTGCGCGTTATGGTCGGGTGCGTGTTATAGAGCGAAAAATACGGTAAATTCAGTGCTGTTAATGCAACAAAAACAACACTGGAGGCAGCAGTTAATGAGTTACCAATCTCTGCAGCCACAATTGACTTCACCCTGGAAGTCACACTCCGTTTCTCTAGAGATAGATGGAGGCCAACAACCAAGTGGTTTTGCTGGGGTTGGGTGGGACTGCTGAACGTTGACTGTTATATAAATAAGTGAAAACAACAAAATACTTGCAGGGTGGGGTATGTAAATGACAACTCCGCTACCAAATTCAGCGTAATTATTATCAAATGTAGTTTATACCCCACTTTTCTCCCAAGCTGGGACCTCTTTACAAATTATGAACAACATTCATACAAGAACTTTAGGAGAGTTCCACAGTGGAACCAAAGGTGGCAGACTCTCTTTCATTTGAGGATTTTAATCAGAGTCGTGGGGTTTATTTGTTTCTAAAAAGAAAATGCATCGCAGAGATTTGCAACGATATAAAAACAGACAATAAAACATAAAACCAGACAGTGGCTCCCCTTCTTGCGGATTGCTCTCCCCAGGGAAGTTCATCTTTTACCGGCCTTTTAAATGTGTTTGTGGGGGGGGGGGACGGGGTCATTGTTTTGTCTTGCTCTTCTTTTTACTCTTCTTGACTTTATTATGTCGTTTCTGGGGTATGTCTTTATTTTTTTAAAAAAAATAATCTTGGATTTTTATGTTGTGAGCAGCCCTCAGATGAAGGACGGTGTGCAAATTTAATAAGTAAACAACGGGTTAAAATCCCCCCCCCCGTCAGGTGGGTGTTTTCTGGTTTGTTGCGCCCGCCTCGCAGGGGGTTGGGCTAGACGACCCTTGGGGTTCCCCTTCCGCCTCACACCTCCCTCCCTCCTTCCCCCCCCCCCCCCCGGGCGACTCACCGGCTCTCCGGAGTTCGCCGATCCGCGACCCCTTGAGGGCCATGTAGTCGGTGTCGGTGACGACGCGCACCTGGACGCCCCTCTGGTGCAGGAGGCAGACGGCGCGGCCCAGCTGCGGGTTGGAGAAGGCGAAGACGCACAGGTCCAGCGAGCGCCGCGCCGACAGCACGCGCGCCAGGAGCCGCCCGAGCGCGCTCTCGCCGTGGGGCAGCAGGCACGCGCACGGGGTCGCCTCCTCCGCCTCCTCCCCCGCCAGCAGCGACTCCACGCACGTCACGCGCGACGGGAAGAAAAGCACCTCGCGTACCGGGGAAGGCGGCGGCCGCTGCCACTGCCACCACCACGACGACGACCGACCCAGCCGCCCTATTAGCCAGCAGGCCAGCGCCTCGAGAGCCATGCCGAGCCCCACCGCTAGCAGGGCCCGCGCCTTGCCGCGCCACATCGTCGCCTCAGGGCGCCACGACGGCCCGCGTCCTCCTCCAACCGCCTTTTTTTTTCCTCCCCCACCGCGCATGCGCCCCTGCGCGCGCGCGCTATCCTCTCAGCTGCCTTGTCTGTTAAATTGCCACAAGCGCGTGCGCTCCGTCCCGCTCAAACGTGCCTTCCCACGCCACGGCGCATGCGTCCGCCCGCCCGCGTGCGCCCTTTTCCTCTCAGCCGCTTTTTCTTTTCAACTGCCGTAGCGCATGCGCATTCTTCACTTCAACCTTTTTACTTGGCGACTCGCACGCGCCCTCCAGCTCAAGGGCTTTGGGGTTTTTTGCCCTCGGAGCGCTGCGTCCGCTACAGCGCATGCGCTGTCATTAAGGCTGTGTAGAGAACATAGAACGGCAGGCGGGACAGGTGGCGCATGCGCACACGCCATAGTTTCCAAGCGTCTCGTTATGTCGCTTCCAGCTGAGCTTCGTGTTTCGTTTAAAAGAAATGAAGTTAATTTTATCCATTTATAACCCTCGGCTTTCAAAACAGCAACCGTCCAAGGCAGTTTAGGATACAGTCATTGCAACCGCTAACAAACAAGTGAAAAAAGAAAGTTAACCATAAAGTTTAAAAAATATATATATATAGTGTTTAATTCTATCAATATACTTTTATAATTATTTTTTTCCATGTTGTAAGTGGTTCTTTTTTCTTCATCCATAAGCCGCCTTGAGTCCCTGCCAGGGAAAAAGGTGTATAAATAAATATAATAATAAATTTCACTTGTGCTATATATGGAATAAAACAGGCTCTGATATTATTATTATTATTATTATTATTATTATTATTATTATTTATACCACCCATCTGGATGGGTTTTTCCAGCCACTCTGGGCAGCTTACAGCAAATTGTAAAAATTTTCAACCTTCAAATTTTCAGCCTTCAACCTTTTCCTTCATTGAGGGACCAGTTCCTTAATTGTTTTCCACGTGGGCATGACTGCTGATGCAACCCTGTTTCTTCATTCCTTGCACTTTTATGCCAAGGCAGTTTACCATTTTAAAGGAGTAAAACAATATAACATATAAGGCAGGGCACAAAGGTGATAGCCCCCACTGGAGCAGGCCTTGATGTTCCCTGTACCTGCCTCCCTCGCCCTCTTATTATTTTATTTCTTTTAAAAAATATTTATATACCGCTATGCCATATATATATATATGTATATATATATATATATATATATGTCACAGCCTTTAACTTTACATTTTTTATCAATGTTTCATACTTTCAAGTAAATAAGGAACTGGGAACTAAGAAACAACTTAAGCAGTGTCCCTTTACATATGTTTAAAGCCACGGCAACCTGATTTTTTTAAATCAAAAGTTAGAAACTTCGCTTCAAAACTGCAAGACACAGCAGGTGTGTCTTGCAGAACCGAGACATGCTGCATGTTCTATTTAGACGCTCAAGGTCGGTTGATTCAGTGGAGTGAAAAAGGCCCCTTGTCCTTTTTTTTTATTCTAGTCAAGATACAAAGCCGGCTTATGCCCTGTGTGGATGCTGCAACCATCTAGGGCAGGGACGTCCAACTCCCAACAGACTGCGATCTACTCACACTATTAAAAACTGGCAGTGATCTACCCATTGTTGTTGGATGGACCAACGAAATTTTTTTGGAAAGCAAAAGTTGCTGAGCCTCCCCCCACCCCCCGCCAACAAGACATCCTGGCTACGCCCATGACTAAGAGTCCAGCCCCCTTTCATTTTAGAGTAAGGAGGGATCAAATTCTTAACCAGCTTCCCACATATTAAGCAATTCGACAAGCAGATAGCTGATTTGAGGGTATGTTACTTCAAATGGGCAGTGACTTGCCCATTAGGCACTGTTTTACTGGGCTGAACAGCAAAAACCACACTCTTGGAAAAGCCCCCCTTTTCCCAAAACATTAAATCCACATTTTCCTCATAGGGGGAAAAAATACAGCATTTTTTTTTAATGATTCGCATTTTTTCATACGCTTTGAAATAATTAACAAAAAATCAATAAGGACCTGCGAACATCTCCAAAATGGAAATAATAGCTAGTTTTGTTAGAGGAATCTTCCTGTAGAGTAGATTAGTATAAATATGTTAACCGCATATGCCAAGATAAAAAATGTTAAAATCAGACACCGCAAACCCAGGCTCACCTTCTATTATTTTTTTCACGGGGAGGTTTTAAAATAAAACATTAAATATTTTAAGTTTAGGTTTTCTTTCCCAGCAAAGGAGATTTGTGGAGTTTGCCCACCATCACCTTAGTTATGCAATTAGAAATAAAAACTTCATGGGGAAAGGGAGGGGGGAACTAACTAATGTTTACGTTCTTGAACATGTTTCAAAAGAAATTATTTCCATTTCTGCAAATTCCATTTCACCAGAAATAGGTTGTGCAGCAGCAAAAGCTACTACCTCCTAGGCTGGGTACAATTGGGTACAATCCATTCAAAATTAATCCTTCAAGTCCCACTGAAACCAACAGGAGAGAGTTAATGGCACCCTTGAAATATTCTCCCATTTTGCAACCGAATGCATGAGCTCTTGCACATGGAAGTAGTTTAGGAAGAGGATCTGGGTATGTAACCATGCAGGATATAAAGCTGCAATGCACTTGCAAAACAATTCTTTTGCTTCCTTTCCTTTTGCTACTGGCAAATAAGTCTTAGTAAGTAGGCAAGAGTCAGATCTTGCTAAAAGTGCAAGGCAGCAACATAACTCTGGATAACAGGGATGCAAGTTCATGTTGCCTTCCTCCAGAATACAATACAGGACCTTTTGATGCAAGATTTCATTTATTTTTAAGTGTAAGCTTCTGTTTTGCTGCAAGGAAGAGGGCATCCTGGAATAGGGTTGTCCCCTCCCCACTTGCTCCGCTAGGCAGGTCAATATGCAAATTGGATATCACCACCTCACTTGGGAGCGTGGTCTTCCTTCCCAGTTCTCTCTGGCCTAGCTTCCCACGCAGGGCGGGTGACAGGGCTTCCTGTCCTCCCATTGCCTGAGAAGAAGGTCTCCACAAATTCATTCAAATTAGAGCAGCCAAATATGTCTTTTTCAGCGTCTCAGCCTGCTGGACGGCTTTTCTTGGATGATTCTTGAGATGGGGAGTTTGGGGAATCAAAGGTCACTTCCCACAATACAGGCTTGCTTACTGGAGGAAGAACTTCCAAATATGGGGGGAACAGGATGGTTGCAAACTGGTTCCTAAATGCAGATGTTGCGACAGGTGCCCCCTCAGGAATAGTCCTGTCTGTGAGTTTGGAGGGGCATCAAATAGTAGCCACTTAATTTTGCTTAGATGCTGCAGGGCATTTGAGATACCAGTTCAACCCATCCCTAGACTAATTCAAATTCTCAGGCTGCCATGTGTGGTCACCAGATTATGAAAGGTGTCGATGAAGCCTGCCTCACCAGGTAATAAAACACGTCACCCCTCTAGCCTGGTGTCACAGAGGAGAAAGTCCAGAAGCCCTCTCAGTCCTCAAATTTCAAGAGGTAACAGCTTTCTTGCCAAAGAAGCTTCACCATCAGGAGGAAGAATAAGGCGCTCCAAACCTATTGCAAACCAGCACACAGAAGCACGCTCTGATCTGTGGAGGATACGCCATGAGATTCTGTGTCCCCTTGCATCCTGAAACAGCCGGGCTGCTCTGCTGCACGTAAAAACATCCAGGCTGAAGGCTCAAGCGAGGGTTTCCTCCAGCAGAGCCGAAAGAGTTCTAGTTTCCTAGTTTCGAGACTCCGAAGAAGTCGGGCTGCGGACCGTCGACATCAGGTGAGACTTGTAGGTCTTGCTCAGGCCGGTCATCCAGAATTTCAGCAGCTTCACGTTGTCCTCTTCGGCCGCTCCCAAGATACTCAGCAGCTTCTGGGTGTCTTCTTTCGGCCTGCTGTCCACTTTCGTGAATTTGAAGAGGACCTTCACTTTGCTGCAGAGGGGAAAAGGAAATAAAATTCATACGCAGCCAACACTTCGCGTAGTGGAATGCCGTACAGTCATACCTCATGTTACGTCCGTTCATGTTACGTCCTTTTAGGTTACGTGCCGCGACGACCCGGAGGTACTGGAAAGGGTTACTTCCGGGTTTCGCCACTCGTGAATGCGCAGAAGCGGCAAATCGCAACCCGCGCTCTTTTCATGTTGCAAACAGGCCTCTGGAATGGCTCCCATTTGCAACCAGAGGTACCACTGTATAATATTCTGTCTCTAAACATCTGAAGGCAGCTCCGTACTGGGAAGATTTTTAATGTTTAATTGTTTTTATATAAGTTGGAAGCTGCCCAGAGTGGCTGGGGAAACCCAGCCAAATGGGCAGGGTATAAATAATATTTATTATTATTATTATTATTAAGCTGAGGGTTTGATAAAGCCTCTGAACAGTCATTGCCATGAATCAGAAGCAGGGGAAATTGCTGTTGCATTCAGGTTGTTGCTTGCAGGCTTCCCAAAGGCCTTTGACTGGCCACTGAGAAAACAAGGTGCTGGGCTTAAGACAGGGCTCTGGCCTCATCCAGCAAGCTTTTTCTCAAGGCCCCTGGACACTTACTTCATCCACTCCTCCTTAAGGCAGACAAGACATTGGTCCACCACGTCCACAGAGAGGTTCTGGTTTGTCAGGGCCGCTTCAATCTTGTTCAAGATGGTGGGACCAACTGGAACCGGAAAGAAAAATACTTGGCTGTGCTCTGGAAGCAGGCAGTGCAGCATTGGGCAAAAATATGTACTTACAAAATTTCTATCACACGCAGGTACCTCCTCAAAATCCACCTTGTCCTTTGGCACAACCCTATAGCTTGCATTGTCTTACTGTAAGGGTCATTAATCCAACCTCTGCAATACAGGAATCTCAACATGCGGTCCCCCATCCCATCTGAAACCATACCGGACCCTGCTTAGCTTTGCAAACGTGCTAGCAGTTTTCCTGCTGCCCCAAACTTCCATGCAGGCACCATATTTTTCCATGTTTAAGACTAGGTTATTTTATCCAAATATTATGCTAAAAACTTGGGGTCATCTTATACACGGATAGTGGAGAGGTGCGATTGGTGGCTGCCGCGAGCAGGATATTGTCCATGCCGTTTTTGCGGGTGATTGGTGGGTGCTGCAAGGTCTGCTGGCTATTGGCTTCTGCAGCAATTGGGCAGGCGATTGGTGCTTGCTTTCAGCAAGCGTGCCGACGATTGGTGGCATCGCCAATATGTATGCGATTGGCTGCTGTGTTCCTGCGGGTGAGCGATTTTCGGCAACCCCCACCCAATAAAGCTCAACAACTCTGGGCAATCTCCCCCCTCCCATTTTCTCTATTTGGAGTCTTATACATGGGGGCATCTTATACACGGAAAAGTACAGTATTTCATGCCACAAACTTGACATCTTTCCGCAGGGCCTGCAAGACAGAGCTATTTCACCAGGCCTTTAGCCAAGGCACAGTCTGACCCCCTCCTTTGGTAATCCTCATAGAACTCTGGCCCAATGGTTGCCATTAATTTGATTCTGAATTGATTTTAGAATGAAGTGATTTTAGAATGTATTTCAATTAATTGATCGTGATTTTATGTAAACTGTGTTACTTTTACTGTTGTTAGCCGCTCCGAGCCCGGCTTCAGCTGGGGAGGGCGGGATATAAATAAATTATTATTATTATAATTATTAAACACGACTTCTCTTTTTGCATACCTAATTCCTCTCCTCCTCCCTCCCTCCCCTAAAACAAACAACAACATGGTAGGCGTCTCTGATTTAGCGTGGTGACAGTTGTTTCAACATGCCTACCACAAAGGACTCTGTTCTTGTTATGGCACGCTACTTACCTCTGTCTGCTGCCACGGGGCTCCCGCTTGTGACCACAAATTCGTATTTGCTGAGAGGCTGCTCATCGTCAAACAAGACAGGATAGAGGCTCGACCGTGTGGCCGTGCGGACTTCCACAAGGACGGTGAACTCTAAAAGGGAAAGAAAGACCACACCAGAGTTTTGCAAACAGTAACTCACCACAGTGCAGCCTTTGAGACACGATCCTAAATTAGTCACCGGATAATTAGTTACCACACCAAGAGACAGTGCAGTAGAATGGTTAGAGCAGGCATGGGTAACCAGGGGCCTTCCAGATTCTGGACTGCTACTCTCATCAGCATGTCGTGTCCAACATTAGTCACAAGAGTAGACCCACTGAAATCAATGGACAGGAATGCTAATGACTAACGCTGGATTCAGCCCAGAGATTGTGCAGGAAAATAAAGTAAAATAAAATCTACCATTGTAAGCTTTATCCTGATGGGGTAGCGAGCAAACGTATTGATGTATACATTTTTGGACAGCCTACACAGGAAGAGATGTGGGAATAGTGTGTGGAAGGGTATTGTTAGGAGAATCTGTTTATTGTCAAGAGCGTTTGTGCAGGAAAAAACTCCGCCTTGACCGGCCTGACAAAAGCAGACGCTGAATTCTTCCTGCTGAATCAGGGATCTGATCATGCACGCATGCTTTTCCTCTGAGAACATGGCTTAATTTCTACGCATGGGTAAAGCTAAGACAAGGGGGTGCCTTTATATACTTGTGTATCTTACAGGCTTGTGGACTCCACCTTTGTCGGTTCCTAAGCTGCTACTGTTGTCGGGACCAAAAAAAGCTGTCTTAAACAAAACAACTGGAGTGATTCATTGAAGAAAATCTAATACAATGGGAGTTTTTTTGGGGGGGAATCCCACATGAAAAACATGCAAATTCAAGAGGATCTGTTTTAAGTCTACCAGATCACGTTTTACCCAGATCCTTTGGAAAAGCAAAGAAGCAACTGGAGATGAATAGTGCCCATGGCGGTCTCTCAACATTGCAAGTGTACCATAAGCAAGACTGGATTTAAGTCTGATGACGCCCTAAGCTGGGACGCAGGTGGCGCTGTGGTTTAAACCACAGAGCCTAGGGCTTGCCGATCAGAAGGTTGGCGGTTTGGAACCCCGTGACGGGGTGAGCTCCCGTTGCTCGGTCCCTGCTGTTGGGATACTGTGTATGTGCAGCTACTCAAACAGAGTCAATTAAGGTTTGGCAGACAGCCAGAAGGCAATCTAAAGGAGTAAGTCTGCCTGGTGATAACAGAGACATGGAGACAACTCCCTGATTGGTCAAGCTCTCTCAAGGGAGTGATAATTAATGGCCTACTAACTGGAATGTGTTAGTTCAGTGTTCAGAGTTCTGTGTCAGTGTAGGAGTTGTGGGTCGTGTCAGAGAGAGCTAGCAAAAGATCTGTGTTCTGTTCTTGTAAATAGTCCACTGTATATAATAAACACCTAACTACAAGTTCCTGGTTCCTGCTTCGTCTATCCTGTCTGCAGCCAAGTCGCCAATTGCTTCCGTGGATTCTGCGTGTACTCTGCTAGGTCTGGCTAAGGTCCTGCAACTAGTCAGAAAGTTGTGAAACACCAAATAGGTTTTACCAATACCTGCTCCTGCCCACCTAGCAGTTTGAAAGCATGTCAAAGTGCAAGTAGATAAATAGGTACCGCTCTGGCGGGAAGGTAAATGGCGTTTCTGTGCACTGCTCTGGTTCGCCAGAAACGGCTTAGTCATGCTGGCCACATGACCCAGAAGCTGTATAAAGCGAGATGAGCTCCACAACCCCACAGTCAGTCACAACTGGACCTAATGGTCAGGGGTACCTTTACCTTTATCTTTAAGCTACTGAAGGTAATGGGGCCCTTTATATGTCCAGCTGTCCTTTGTCAACAACAAATTGTTGTGGTTTTTTGTGTTGAATATATGCTATATGGTAATTTATGGACCTAATAGGTATCTAAAGCCATTTGCGCATAACAGGAGCCTACACAACACAAAACACTGTTGCTGTATGTAGGTTTTATTTTATTTGTTTTTTTATCTTATATTTTGGAAATGTACATCCAGTCCCCACTCTTTAAATTTTTTTGTAGCCCCTAAGAGAGTGGGGCCCTAAGCTATAGCTTGTTTGGCTTATACGTAAATCCGGAACTGACCACAAGCCCCAAAATGTGCCCTCCCCCCTTGGCTACCTGGTACTTTTGACTGGAGACACCAGGATCTGACACTCTCCACCTTCTGCCTACAAGGAATGTGTTCTACCACTGAACTACAACCTGAGCTTTATTCTTTCTTGTTGGCTCAACTGTCCTTCATCCACATTAATCTCCAAGGCAGCTTGCGAACAAATCAGTAAAACACAGATGAAACTGATACGTATTTTCGGCGGCCACTCCATCTCTAGCTCCAGTCAAACACCCCCAATTCCCAATTATTCTGATGAGAGTTTTAGTCGAGCTGCGATAATGATAAAGCGCGGGGCCAAGGAAGTTTTTTATATAGATATTTTTAAAAAGCTGAGCAAAGTTGAAATGATCTGCAAGAGGGTGAGGATCTGCCACATACAATTCAGAAAGGCAGTGTGATGTAGTGGTTAGCGTGTCCAACTAGGACCTGGGAGACCTAGGTTCAAATCCCCCACTCCACCATGAAACTCATGGGGCCTTCTAGGAAGTGGAACGCCCTCCCATCAGGTGTCAAGGAGATAAATAACTACAGTCATACCTTGGGTTACGGACACTTCAGGTTGCGTTTTTCGGGTTACGGATGCGCCGAAACCCAGAAGTACCAGAACGGGTTACGTCCTGGTTTCGGCGGTTGCGCAGGCGCAGAAGCACTAAATCGCTCTTTGCGCATGCGCAGAAGCGCCGAATCGCAACCCGCGCGTGCACAGACGCGCTGCTGCGGGTTGCGTACGTGCATCTCGCACGGATCACGTTCGCAACCCAAGGCGTCCACTGTATACAACTTTTAGAAGCCACCTGAAGGCAGCCCAGTATTGGGAAGTTTTTGATGTTTGACGTTTCTGTATGTGCTGGAAGCCGACCCAATAAAAAGGGAAGAGGTTAAGGTGCTCTTACCAGATGACAGAATGTGGGGCGGGATCTGCACGTGGGGGGCGAGGCCCAGAAAGTTGCACCGATAAGCCTCCTCGTATTTGTCGCTGTAGGGGATGATCCGAACGCAGCCAATGGGCAGCATGGTCTGGCAACGGAAAGGCAGCAGGGTGAGAACTCGCCCCAGGCACAGGTTTTGCTCTCGCGACCCGCAGCTCTGCCCAGGGCAAGTCGGCAGCAGGCTGGAAGGGGGCAAGGGCTCTCTGCCTGCCCCGCCCCCTTCTGTGACATCAGGGCAGCCCAGCCAATCAACGCCAGACACCTCTCCGCCCCCAAGATGCTTGGGCCCGGGTAACGGAGAGAAGACACGGCTCTGGCGAAAGGGTGGTAGCTCAGTCGTAGAGCACCTGCTCTGCATTCGGAAGGTCCCGGGTTCGAATCCTGACATCTCCCTGCAGGGCTGGGAATTTCTGAAGTCCCACAGAGCCCCTGCCTTTCAGTGCAGGCAATATTGATCCAGGTGGACTGAGGGTTTGATAAGGCAGATTCTTAGGTTCCTACCCGAAGGACGTCGAAGGCGGACTGGACAAGGTCTGCGTCCCGCGCTTTCCAAATGACCTGATTCCCCATGAGCACATGCCACGCCAACATGCGGAAAGCGGAAGGCCCCAGCACCTAAAATTAAAGCGGGGGAAATGATGATAATAATAATAATAATAATAATAATAATAATAATAATAATAATATTTATTTATATCCCGCCTTCCCCAGCCGAAGCCGGGCTCAGGGTGGCTAACAACAATAAAATAGTACAACATTCTAAAATCATTTCATTATAAAATTAATTCAACTCAAATTGATGGCATCCATTAGCCTAAAGTTCTGTGAAGATTGCCAAAGGAGGGAGTCAGGCTGCGCCCTGGCCAAAGGCCTGTCTTGCAGGCCCTGCGGAAAGATGTCAAGTCCCTCAGGGCCCTAGTCTCTTGTGACAGAGCATTCCACCAGATCGGAGCCACAGCCGAAAAAGCCCTGGCTCTAGTTGAGGCCAGCCTATCCTCTCTGTGGCCTGGGACCTTCAGGATGTAATGATGTAAATATTACCATCCATTCTTTTAATGCACCCTCTCAAGCTTCATACAGGGGTCAGTAAACTTTTTCAGCAGGGGGCTGGTCCATTTCCCTCAGACCTTATGGGGGGCCGGACTATATTGGGGGGGGGGGGATGAATGAATTCCTATGCCCCACAAGTCACCCGGAGATGCATTTTAAATAAAAGCACACATTCAACTCATGGAAAAACACGCAGATTCCTGGAACATCTGCGGACCAGATTTAGAGGGTGATTGGGCCGGATCCAGCCCCCGGGCCTTAGTTTGCCTACCCGTGCTTCAACCAGTCATCTTTCCACTGCGGTCTTCAAACTCAGCCGCCTATGTTCTGCAAACACTGTCCCTTTGGCTTACCGTTGTTATGAATTTAGAATATAGGCAGAATCTTTAAACGCCCTGCATTTATAGGGGTGGGGGCGGGGCATGGCAAAAGTGGGCGGAGCCACATTGCCTGATGAGGAGCGGTTGTATAACTTGCTGTTGAAATGGAATACTCAGGATGAAACGGTGAAATCTGCTATGATTAAATGGGCACAAGATGTTGGACATAACATAATGATGGCTGATTGGGAACAGTTATGGACCACAGGTATGAAGTTTACGGCATGCAATGCCTTAAGAGAGAATATTATGAAAATGATATACAGGTGGTACATGACCCCAGTCAAGCTTGCAAAAATCTATCATTTGCCCGATAATAAATGTTGGAAATGTAAAGAAACTGAAGGTACATTCTTTCACCTTTGGTGGACATGCCCAAGGATTAAGGCTTTCTGGGAGATGATCTATAATGAAATGAAAAAGGTATTTAAATATACCTTTCTGAAGAAACCAGAGGCCTTTCTCCTGGGCATAGTCGGCCAATTGGTGTTAAAGAAGGATAGAACTTTCTTTATATATGCCACAACAGCAGCAAGAATACTTATTGCAAAGTATTGGAAGACACAAGACCTACCCACTCTGGAAGAATGGCAGATGAAGGTGATGGACTACATGGAATTGGCGGAAATGACTGGCAGAATCCGAGACCAGGGAGAAGAGTCAGTGGAAGAAGATTGGAAGAAATTTAAAGACTATTTACAGAATGATTGCAAAATTAATGAATGTTAGAATGATGTTAGAATGAAGTTAGGTGGTTTAAGCAGTAATGCTATAAAGGTGTATGAAAAAATGGATTGCTAACAGGTGAAAAATCAAAGCTATAGTATATTAAGTTAAAGGAGTAAGAGAAAATAAAGAGGGAAAGAAATTGCTGAATTAATTAACTAACTGAACTGGAATACAAAAAAGGGAGGTATGAGGAGGTCAGGGAAACAAGGATATGAATGTAAGGTATGGAAAGATTGATGTATTTTTTCTTTTAAGTGTTTTTCATTCTTTTATTCTGTATTTTGTATTTTTTCCTGTATTTTTACTTCTGTTTTTTGTTTTTTGTTTTTTTGTTTTCCCCCCCTCCTTTTCTTTATGTAATTCCTCTTTCTGAAATTTCAATAAATATCATTTTAAAAAAAAAAAAGATGAGGAGCAGTTGAAGGAGCTGGGTATGTTTAGCCTGGAAAAGAGGAGACTGAGAGGAGATAGGATAGCCATCTTCAAATATGTTAAGAGCTGTCACATGGAAGAGGGAGCAACCTTGTTTTTGCCTGCTCTGGAGGGCAGGACTCGAACCAGTGGCTTGAGGTTACAAGGAAGGAGATTCCGGCTAAACATCTGAAAGAATGACGGTAGGAACTGTTTGGCAGGGGAATGGACTTCCTCGAGAGGTGGATTCTCCTTCCTTGGAGGTGTTTAAGCAGAGTTTGGATGGCCATCTGCTATGGATTCTTTAGTTGAGATTCCTGAATTGCAGCGGGTTGGACTAGATGACACTTTTTAATATATAAAATTAATTTTTGCATTTTCAATTTGACATACAATAAGAAAAAGGAAAGTAAACAAACACAATAAAAACATGAAATCCCCTTTGACTTTCCTCCCCACCCCCTTTGTGGGGATCCTCATATAACGATTTCCCCTCTGCTTCTCTTCCGTGACTCAATTACGATAAATCCTTCGCCAATCCATGGTTCCAATCTTCTGCCGAACCTACCAATGAATGTCATTGTTTACAATAATTTTTCAAATAGATCATAAACTTTCCCCGTTCTTTATTAAAATTTGCCTCTTCCTGGTTTTCTAATTCTTCCTGTTAAGTTTTGCCATCATACCTTGGGTTACAGACACTTCAGGTTGTGTTTTTTTGGGTTACGGACCCGTCGAAACCCGGAAGTACTGGAATGGGTTACTTCCGGGTCTCGGCAGTCACGCATGCGCAGAAGCGCGAAACCGTACTTTGCGCATGCGCAGGAGCGCCAAATCGCAACCCGCGCATGCGCAGACGTGCCACTGGGGGTTGCGAACATGCACCCCGCATGGATCACATTCACAACCCAAGCGTCCACTGTAGTTCATCAGTTTTATCTGCCACTCTTCCTTGGACGGAATTATTCCTTATTTCCATCTCTGGCCTAGCAGAATCCAGGCATAAACAGTTTCATCTGATCAGATGGACTGGACTCTTGGGGTCCCTTCCAACCTCATAATTCTATGAATTTTTTTTTTAAAGCTCATGCTGGCCCCAGGTCAGCACCCCACCTGTACCTGTCTCAGGTGCCGGAGGGACCGGAAGCCCTGGTTCCGGGGCGCCATATTCCAGTTGCTGCAGTCCAAGGTGAGGGAGGAGTCTGTGGGGCTTTTGACAAGCTCTCGGGATTCCTGAGCGTCCCCCTGGCTTGGAGCTTTCCCTTCCTCCTCCTCAGAGTTGTCCCAGCCTTCTGATTCTTCCTCAAGATCTCCAGGAGAAAAGAGAAAGAGAGAAAGGCCTTAAGGAAGGAAATCCCATTTCCTGTCAGCATCGCCCTTGAGCCAGTGCCACCAACTGGACTCATCCACTTCAGCCCCGACTGGGCCAGGCGAGCTGGGTAGCACTTCCAGAGACCACCTTCTGCACAGGAACAGGTCAAAGTGCTGTGGACTCACAGCTTAGAGTTGTGAGCACCGGATTCACTTCCACAAGAAGACAGTCGTCGCACAGCAGAGTACAGCAGACTCTAGCAGAGTATATAAACAACTCGGAGAGCAGCTCTGTAGAATATCTTCTTTATTCTATCTACAACTATTATACAACTATATACAGAGCTAAATAGGTCTAAGCATAAATGAATGCTGCACTGCACTGAGTGTCTGCAGCTGCTCTTAGCAGCAACCTTATCTCTACACACGATCTCTAACACTCAGTCTCTCTCTCTCTCTCCCCGACACTGACTGACTGACTGACTTGGTGCTGGAGCAGAATAAGTAGAGAGCAGAACACGCCTCCTCCTCTCTGGAGAATCAGCAGACTCCTCAGGAGATTCTTGGATATGGGAGGGGTGAAATCTCCTCATTTCCATGCTCCTTCTGAAGAGAAAAGGAGCTGTTTGCATACATGCATTAAGCAGCGAGTGTGGTACTAAGCTGGTGCTAAGAAAACACAACAAAAGTCGTGTGAGGGTGTTTGGGGAAGGAAGAGAGAGACGGGTGAGAGAAAGAGATGGGGGTCTAGTGGGGTAGGAGAACTGGGGGGGGGGGGAAGGAAATCACATTTGGTAACCAATGTGTCTCTTTGGTATTAGATAGTACATGGGTAAAAAGGTAAAGGGACCCCTGACCATTAGGTCCAGTCGTGACCGACTGGGGTTGCGGCGCTCATCTCGCTTTATTGGCCGAGGGAGCCGGCGTACAGCTTCCGGGTCATGTGGCCAGGATGACTAAGCCGCTTCTGGCAAAACCAGAGCAGCGCACGGAAACGCCGTTTAACTTCCCGCCGGAGCGGTACCTATTTATCTACTTGCACTTTGACGTGCTTTCGAACTGCTAGGTTGGCAGGAGCAGGGACCGAGCAACGGGAGCTCACCCCGTCATGGGGATTCGAACCACCGACCTTCTGATCGGCAAGCCCAAGAGGCTCAGTGGTTTAGACCACAGTGCCACCCACGTTCCTAGTACATGGGTAGGCAAGTCCAAAAAGCTTGGGATACAAATTTTCCCGGCCCTCTAGCAGCTATGGCTGCTCATTTCCCAGAAGTCATGTATTTAGCATTCATTCTAGAAGCGTATACACTCGATTCTGATCAAACTAAGCCTCCTAGAGCAAAATATACGTCAGGGGGCCTAGTTTCGTGAAAATCGAGTTAATGCTAAAAACATTACTTCTGACAGATGAGCCTCGTAACCGCTAGAGGACCGTGAAAATGTGTCTCTCGGGCTTTTTAGACTCGTCTCCCCATCTACTGTCTGAAACCCAAGGGTGCATTGATTACCAAATGCGAAATATATCGGCATTATTTTCAGCTCACCTACTGCACTAGTGAGTGTGTGTGTGTGTGTGAATGATCTGAGTGAGAGACAAGAGAAGGAAAGGTGAGATATACCATATTTTTCCGTGTATAAGACATCCCCATGTATAAGACGCCCCCTATTTTGGGGGACTCCAAATTAAGAAAACACCCCAAAGCACTACCCGTGCATAAGACAAGCCACAATTTCTAACCTATTTTTTTGGTAAACCCTAGTCTTATACACGGAAAAATACGGTACATCCAATATATACGTAAAATCAATATATAAACCCCGCAAGGTAAGAGGTAAAGAGCCAACACAGTTGTGCAGAGAGACTTGAGGCCGGAGTTTCCTAGTCCAAGCTCAGCACTCGTTCCTCCCCCCAAAAATTTTTTTGGGGGGTGGATGGGGGTGTCAGTTTGCATTTCTTAAAGAGTATTGATCTGATGTGTCAAGATCTTTCCTATTCTGATTAATTCAAGAGGGTTCTGGAAGCTTTTCTGTGTGAAAGAAACAAGCAAAAGGTTCATGATGTTTGGGTTATTCCTTCAGAGAAGCTGAGTACAGCCAGCTTAAATTGGTTATCTCTTTCTGTCAAGGTCATGCTGACTATAAAAGGCCTGAAGGAGCCTTTCTGTCTCTCTTCCTTCTGATGTGGTGTTCTGTATATAGTGTTAAGTAACGTTTAGACTTATTATAAGTTATTGTAAGTTCAAGTTAAGTCTGCTGCAACTGGACTTCTTATGGACAGTGCCAGTCTTGATTGTATTGGATTTGTGACCATTACTGCTCAGGTGTCTTCAGTACCAAGCAAAAGCTCTGCTGGATGAAATACAATTGCCTCTGGTCTATTTTGGGGGAATCCTGCAACGTGTTTTAAGTTTTTACTCCGCTAACTGTACGTTGAGGTTCTGTTCTGGATCAATGTTGAGTAGAACTGCATGACAAACCACTCCTCCACCCAACACTTTTTCCAACTCAAGCAGCCGCAAGCCTTACCAGCCAATTTCTCCATCTGAACAAGAGTATCCTCTGTGGGTGCACCTTCCAGAAGCTTCTCTGTCAGTCTGCTGCCGCATGCCTTCAGGAGCCTGAGGAAGCGAGAAAGGACCCCGGATTTAAGTAAAGATGGCACAGCAAAAATGGCACCTCTATGTATCAGCTGCGGGCGGGCAACGGTTTCAAGTCCTTCCGACAAATGTCTAGTTGGTGTTGATGTTGGTGCTGACCTTTAAAGCCCTAACCGGCCTCGGTCCTGTATACCTGAAGGAGCGTCTCCATCCCATCATTCAGCCCGGACACTGAGGTCCAGCGCCGAGGGCCTTCTGGCTGTTCCCTCCCTGCGAGAAGTGAGGTTACAGGGAACCAGGCAGAGGGTCTTCTCGGTGGTGGCACCTGCCCTGTGGAACGCCCTCCCTTCAGATGTGAAGGAAATAAGCAGCTATCTTATCTTTAAAAGACGTCTGAAGGCAGCCCTGTTTAGGGGACGTTTTTAATATTTAATGCTGTATTGTTTTTAACACTCAATTGGAAGCCGCCCAGAGTGGCTGGGGAAACTCAGCCAGATGGGCGGGGTATAAATAAGTTGTTGTTGTTGTTGTTGTTGTTGTTGTTGTTGTTATGGGAAGCAGACTCCGCAGATCCTCAGGTCTGATCCGGCGCAGAGTCCATTACAAATTTATCTGAGACTTAATCAATGAAACAGAATCCAAGGAAGTTGAATATTCAACCAAGATCTTTCCTTGACGGTTAAGCACAGCTGTCATGATGTGTGACCAGGGCCGGATTGAGGATTGATGATGTAATGGTTCTAGGGGTTGCTCGTGCGTAAGCTTGTCCCAACCTCTGGCTGGGTCGCCTGAGTGAACCTTTCCTGTCCAGGCAGCCACTCGCCCGTGACTGTCTCAATTGCTGGCAGAATCTGTCAGTGGGCGTTTCTTAAACTTCTTTCAGCAAAGAAGCTCTTTGACGCCTAGTCTCCTCCTACGCTCCCTGTGCGGAAGCCTTCTGCGCAAGGAAGGCGTGGGCAACGGAGGACCCCTACTCTCCCCGCTGGTCCCAGGCAAGGAGTCATGGGACCGCTTCGCCGCTTCCCCCATCTGCCCCCCTTCTCCACTGGAGCTACGTTGATTCTCTTCCCCAGAAGACGGGCTGCCTCTCCCACTCCCGGGACGCTCTCGGGGATCCCTTTGGAGCTTGCTCTCTCCCTCGGACACTGATGGCAGTTCCCTGACAGATGAGGCCCTAAGCTACTGAAGGTAATGGGGCCCTTTCTATGTCCAGCTGTCCTTTGTCAACAACAAATGGTCACTGTTTTTTGTGTTGAATATTTGCCCTATGGTAATTTATGGACCTGATAGGCATCTAAAGCCATTTGCACATGTTGCCCTGCAACCAGTCCATGCAGAATGTAGGCACCCTATATATAGAAAGGAGCAAACCAGTGATATTTGAGGGAGCAGGCTAGCAGGCGGGGCCCATGACTTACATCATAGGAGCCTACACAACACAAAACACTGTTGCTGTATGTAGGTCTTTTTATCTTATCTTATATTTTTATCTTATATTTTGGAAATGCACATCCAGTTTTTTTTCCTTTAAATTTTTTGGGGGCCCCAAGAGAGTGGGGCCCTAAGCTACAGTTTGTTTAGCTGATACGTAAATCCGTCACTGTACTTGAGAGACACACAAAGTGGGTTACCAAGCAAAGGACGTGTGGAGGCAGGCCCACAGGTTCTCGTCGTTCGTCAGAGAGGTGAGGGAACGAGCGGCGTTTCCGTTCCGCTGGTGCAGGAAAGGCGTAAAGGCCGTGTTCATGCGCTGCGCCCGCTGGGGGCATCCGTACTGCTCAGCTTCAAAGACCTGCAGGACAGACGAGCGAGAATGAAGACGGACTGCCTGTGAGGAGGAAATTATGGCTTGCTGTAAAACTGGACAACAACTTAGTAATGGAGGGAATGGAAATTAAAGAAGAGAAGATGTGGCAACAGGAGGAAGAGATGGGCATATGTTTGCAACAGGAGTGGGAAACCTGATTTGAAGAAATTATATTAAATTATATTAAAGTAATTTGGACGGATTTGTAATAATTTGGAAAACTAATAAAAAAATATACAGTGGTGCCCCGCAAGACGAATGCCTTGCAAGACGAAAAACTCACTAGACGAAAGAGTTTTCCGTTTTTTGAGTCATTCCGCAAGACGAATTTCCCTATGGGCTTGCTTCGCCAGACGAAACGTCTTGCGAGTTCTTGCGAGTTTGTTTCCTTTTTCTTAAAGCCGCTAAGCCGGTAATAGCCGCTAAGCCACTAAGCCGCTAAGCCGCTAATAGCCGCTAATAGCCGTGCTTCGCAAGACGAAAAAACCGCAAGACGAAGAGACTCGCGGAACGGATTAATTTCGTCTTGCGAGGCACCACTGTATTTAAAAATAGAGAATGAAAATGCACTGAACCCTTTTGTTTTGTTTTGTTTTTTTATAAATTTTATTAGTCTTTTCCACACAACAACACGAAAAATATAAAAAAATAACAATACACAAAGCACAAAAACCAACATTCAAATAAACAAAAGGACCCAAATCCATATCTTACAAGTTAATAATATAAACCCTAAAAAGAAAAACAAACATTGACTTCCACCAATCCCACAGCATCTCCTTTACCTCTTATTGTGTCTTCCTGTTTTCCTTATCATCTCTATCCTAGCATCCAGATATAAATCCCTCTTTCTTATCCTTTCACTTCACAAGGTTATTCCAGACTCAGCCAGATTTCTGTCCTCGAACCTTGGCTTTTAAGGTAGCACTGAACCCTTTTGTAATTCCAGACAACGCATCCTTTCCCTCTTGGTCTCTTTTATTATTGACTCAACCTGAGTATGATTGTTTTAATTTTTAAAATTTATTTATACCCCACTTTTTCCCCTGCTGGGAACCTGAGGCAGCTTTTAGGAACACCTAAATGCATAGGGGAGGGGGGAAGACCACCATAATTAACAAAAAAAATTAAACATTAACAAAATGAAAACTACATATAAAAATAGAGTATGAGTCTCAGGGTTGTGGGTTCGAGCCTCACGTTGGGCGAAAGATTCCTACATTGCAGGGGGTTGGACTGGATGACTCTTGTGGCCCCTTCAAACTCTACAATTCTATGAATACCTGTTGGATGCATAGAGATAACTGCAATGAAAACAGAATGGCACCAGCCAGCCCTTTCACTAAAAGCAGTCAGTTCCCCAAAGCCCGTTGAAATGAGAAAGTCTTCGAAGGACAAATAATAATAATAATAATTATTATTATTATTATTATTATTATTATTTATTATTTGTACCCCACCCATCTGGCTGGGTCTCCCCAGCCACTCTGGGCGGCTTCCAAAAAGATTAAAAATACATTAAAATGTCACACATTAAAACACTTCCCTGAACAAGGCTGCCTTCAGATGTCTTCTAAATGTCGGGTAGTTTATCTCTTTGATATCTGATGGGAGGACGTTCCATAGGGCGGGCGCCACCACCGAGAAGGCCCTCTGCCTGGTTCCCTGTAACTTGGCTTCTTGCAGTGAGGGAACCGCCAGAAGGCCCTGAGCTGGACCTCATTGTCCTGGCTGAACAATGGGGGTGGAGACTTCAGGTCTACTGGGCTGAGGCCGTTTAGGGCTTTTAAGGTCAGCACCAACACTTTGAACTGAGCTTGGAAACATAGTCAAATCTCTCTAGGGAGGGAGTTCCAAAGTCTGGGAGCCAGCACCAAAAAGGCCCTCAGTATCGCTATATCCTATACCTAGCCTTATGAGGAACAGTTGAAGGAGCTGGGTCTGTTTAGCCTGGAAAATAGGAGACCGAGAGCAGATAGGACAGCCATCTTCAAATATCTCAAGGGCTGTCACACGAAAGAGGGAACAAGCTTGTTTTCTCCTTCTCTGGAGGGCAGGACTTGAATCAGTGGCTTCAAGTTACAAGAAAGGAGAGTCCAGCTAATCAGGAATAACCTTCTGACAGTAATAGCTGTTCAACAGTGGAACTGTCTCCCTCAGGAAGTGGTGGACTCTCCTTCCTTGGAGGTTTTAAGGCAGAGGTTGGATGGTCATCTGTCCTGGATGCTTTAGCTGAGATTCCTGCATTGCAAGGGGTTGGACTAGATGACCACTGGGCTCTACTGTAGATAATTCTACAATTCCATGATGCTATGACTCCCTTTTTCAGCAATCATGACAACTTTTCTGAAACTAATTTTTCTTCCATTTCTCTCTTCAGCAACCTGCTTCTCCTTATTAATATTCAATTGATGGAGCCTACTGATGGATTACCTCTCAAAGTATCACCCATACATGAAGTTGCGGGCAAGATTTAAAATATTAACAGTGAGGCACATACCTCCACATGCGGTGGAAGTGCCCCAAAATCCAACTATTCTGGACAACAACCATACGAGAAATAAGTAAAATAACCAAGCAAGTACAGTGGTGCCTCGCAAGACGAAATTAATCCGTTCCGCGAGTCTCTTCGTCTTGCGGTTTTTTCGTCTTGCGAAGCACGGCTATTAGCGGCTTAGCGGCTATTAACGGCTTAGCGGCTATTAACGGCTTAGCGGCTTTAAGAAAAAGGAAACAAATTCGCAAAAGCAAACAAATTCGCGAAGCAAGCCCATAGGGAAATTCGTCTTGCGGAACAACTCAAAAAACGCAAAACCCTTTCGTCTAGTGAGTTTTTCGTCTTGCGAGGCATTCGTCTTGCGGGGCACCACTGTATTAGAAACCACCCCAGAATTGGCCTTACTAAACATCTTCCAAGACAATAATGCCCACTTACACCACAAAGAACTCATAACCCACCTACTCTCAGCAACCAAAAACATCATAGCCAGACACTGGAGAGACCTGTCAGGAGTAAGCATGGACCAAAGGTACCAAATAGTATGGGAACCAGCCTTACTAGAAAAATTAACCAATAAACTGAAACTGGCACAGGGACAAATAGAAGAAGACACCTTCACACACACACACACCCGTATGGCTCCCCTTTATCACACACAAAGCCCAACAAGATAATGACAAAAGCCCACCAATAGCATACAAATCAATAGGGCTAACCTGATCCAAAACACCCACCCACCCCACTCACACACGAAAACAAAGACCACCACAGCCACACCCATGGCCAACCCCAACCTCTCTCACCACCAAAGGAGCACAAGTGAACAGCAAAGAACCTGCGCAAGAAATGCTGACACCAAACCCTACATATCGTAAGTAAAATAGAAACATCGCCACCCACCCCCACCCATCTTCTCCCCTCCACCTCTTTCCCCCTTTTCTTCCTAATGTCTCAACACATGAAAATGATTTGTAAAAATGTTAAATGGGGGAAAAAAAATACGAGAGAGAGAGACAGACATTGCACACACTTTTGTAAATCAAGAAAATCTTAAATAAATAAATAATATTAGCAGTGGATTACAGAAAGAACCAGTGATAGTGAAGTTTAGATAATAAAAACACGTGCATTGTAAAACAGCTAATAAAAATGATGTTTGTATATATGATGTAAGCCGCCCAGAGTGGCTGGGGAAACCCAGCCAGATGAGCAGGGTATAAAAAAATCAAATTATTATTATTATTAAAACAAACACCAGGAATGTAGGGGTGGGAAGACAAGGAAGTTATGTCGGAGGGAAAGGGTTTTGTATATGACGATAAATGTTTTGGAATATTTTTGGAGATTTAATAAAAATGATATTTTAAAAATTCAATGAAAAATATTTGGAAGAAACAGCTGCAACCCCCAAGCTTGCTCCCACCTTGAGCGCTTTGCCCTGAAGCTCGTCGATGATGCCTCTGACTTTGCCCAGCAGGAAAGGCCAGGAGTTTATGAGGTAGATGCGGTCCATCATGATGGCAATGACGCTATACCAGCGCTGGAAGCCGCGCGCCAAGCTGTCTTTGATGAAGAAGGTGTGGCTGAAGACGAAGCCGTGCTGCTCGTCGCCAAAGAAGATGGGGCCTTCGCGTCCCGGGCAGACCTGGCAACGAGAGCAAACTAACCCTAGAACCCGCCAACATGCAATGGAGCTGAACACTGGAAGGTTCTGGATACATACGAGGAAGTACCGTTTTGACCCGAATATAAGCCGCACTTTCCCCCCAAATTCCTTTTTAAAAAAAAAATAATAATTATTGATTTTAACATATAAATTATAAAATGTACCACAAAACTTATCACTTATACAATCTTTTTAGACTTCCATCAGCACCTCTGATGATCCACCGTTTTAACCACTTCTTATGCATTTCTTAACTTTATATTGCCTTTACATCTCTTAACAAATCATCCTTCCCCTTCTCCATTTTTGCAATACTTCCAATAATACTCCTCACAAAACTTCTTGCTAACCTACAAATGTCATCTGATCTTCACAAATACTTTTCAAATAGTCCGTAAATTTACTCCAGTCTTCCGTGAATTTCTGGTCCCTCCGATTTCGAATCCTTCCTGTTAGTTTATCTAATTCTGCATAGTCCATTAACTTCATCCTCCATTCTTCAATCGTCGGTAATTCTTCTTGCTTCCATTTTTGGGCCAGTAATATTTTTGCTGCTGTTATTGCATATAAAAAGAGCTTATATTCCTTTCGATTTCTTTCCCCCCAAATTCCTATCGTGAAAAGTTAAAGTGTGGCAGCTCCCCCCACCCCCCGAGAACAGCCCGGGAGTGTGGGGCAACGGCGCCCATCCCGTCCATGGCTCCCAAGCCTCCTCCAAGCTGCCGAATTTTAAAGGTGCGGCTTACTTGCGGGTGCGGCTTATATTTGGGCCAATACGGTACTTGTTTATGCGGTGCGGTTCATCTGTGGAACTACCTGCCACAGGAGACAGTGATGGCTACCAACCAGTGCAAGAGGACCAGGCAAGTTCGTGGGGGAGAGAGCTTGCAGCGTTTGGGACTTTTCAGTTCAGAGAAAAGGCAAATAAGAGGCGACATGATAAAAGTTTTTAAAATTATACATGGCAAGGAGAAACTAGATGCATAATTTTTTCCCTCCCTCCCTCCTAACACTAGCACTTGAGAACACCCAAAGAAGGCTTAGGACAGATAAAATAAGATATTTATGCATGCACGCAGAATGCAGGTGATCAACCACCAATCACTTCCCCAAATAGTGAGCGAGGGAGATTTGATTTGATTCATCGTATTTCTAGGCCACTTTCATTCAAATGAATCCCAAAGCGGTTTGCAAACAATAAATAACAACATGGTAAACCAGAATAAAAAAAGGTAAAGGGACCCCTGACCACTAGGTCCAGTCGTGACCAACTCTGGGGTTGCGGCGCTCATCTCGCTTTATTGGCCAAGGGAGCCGACGTACAGCTTCCGGGTCATGCGGCCAGCATGACTAAGCCGCTTCTGGCGAACCAGAGCAGCGCATGGAAACGCCGTTTATCTTCCTGCCAGAGTGGTACCTATTTATCTACTTGCACTTTGACGTGCTTTCGAACTGCTAGGTTGGCAGGAGCAGGGACCGAGCAACGGGAGCTCACCCCGTCGTGGGGATTCGAACTGCCGACCTTCTGATCGGCAAATCCTAGGCTCAGTGGTTTAACCCACAGCGCCACCAACGTCCAAACCAGAATAGAACATCACAAATACAGCATAAATCATATAAAATAATGAACAAATCACCAATCCGACAATTACCATCTATAAAACAGCAACTGAAAAATAAAATATGTTTACACCATTACAACAAAAGTCGTATTATACGATTAACAAATCAATACGGCATTTATAATCTGTAAAACAATATTAACAACTTAACAAAATAGCAACTTTTTTTAAAAAAAGCTAAGCACTCTTCAAGTTCATACACACTTTCATAACTCAGAATCTTCCACTCTGTTTGGTTCATTAAAATACACATAAAATACACATAATGCACATTGTTAAGCCAGAGGATGCTTCTGGCAATTATTTGCATGGTATGTGGCTCACCTCACAGCTGAGGCTGCGGACGCAGGCCTGGCGCACGATGCTGAAGAGCTGCGGGTGGTTTGGGTGCTGGTGGCTGACGTATTTGATGGAGGTCTCTTTGTCATGGCTGACGTAGCCCGGGTGCCCTGCAGGCAGAGAGCGGCACCCCTGGTGGCGGAAAGAAGCCGGAGTTAGTGTATGTCAGGGATCATGATGAGAAAGGATGCACTGAGGAGGAATGGTGGGCGCCTTCCCCTCCCCCTGCTCCGGATCCAGATCCTGAGTATTCCCAGGATCATGAGGACAGTATAGATTTGGAACAGTGGCTTGCAGAGGGACACAGATCAGAAGGCAGTAGCTGGGATATACTGGATGGGAAACAGCTAGGAGAAGAGACACTGGAAGAGAGAGGGTTAACAGATTCAGTGTCTCTGGGCAGCATTCACACCCCCTTCTCCAAAGTCACGGAGAACTCAGAAAGTGGCAGAACAGAAAGCACAGAGGGTACGAGCTCAGATTACAAGATGTAGGAGTGACGTAGATTAAGGGGGTGTGATCCTTAATTGGGAGCACCGCCATTCTAGGAGATGTGTTCTTTGTTCTCTCGCTGTGATTATTAAAGTTTCTAACTGGTAAGAAGACTCCTTTTCCTTTGTTCTGCTTATCTACTGCCACGGGGGGAGGAAGCCCTGAAGACTGACACTGTAGGAACACCACGGGGAAATGTACTTCCTTCTTTAGATAAGGGGTGGTGAGGAGCCTCTTGGATGGTTTCCCATAATAGCTGCAGCCCATTAAAGGAGCCCAAGAACCTTGAGCTGCGATAATAGGTCTTGCTTGCCTGGTTAGAGGGACGTGGGTGGCACTGTGGTCTAAACCACAGAGCCTAGGGCTTGCTGATCAGAAGGTCGTGGTTCGAATCCCCGCGACGGGGTGAGCTCCCGTTGCTCGGTCCCAGCTCTTGCCAACTTAGCAGTTTGAAAGCACGTCAAAGTGCAAGCAGATCAATAGGTACCGCTCCGGTGGGAAGGTAAACGGCATCTTCCGATGCGCTGTCCGCTGGTCCTCGGCCAGAAGCGGCTTAGTCCAATGCTGGCCACACTGACCCAGAAAGCTAAGTCTAGTAAAGGCCAAGACACCGGCTCCATCGGCCAATCAAAGGCGAGATGGAGCACCTGTCTACAGGCCCCAGAAGATCAGATCCGCAGGACTGGACATTACGGTCAGAGGTCCCTTTAGCTTTACCTTTGCCTGGTTACAGAAGTGGAGGAAGAAACCTCTCAACTTTTACGTGGCTGGAATATAGCACACCGTTCATAAGGCAAGAGTCAAGCACAAAGCTCCATCCACTTTTGCCTTGCAAGTGGCCCCCAGAAAGTCATTTGTGAGAGAATGCGGCCCTTCAGCTGAGGAAGGTCCCCACTCCTAATCTAGACACGATAAGGACATGAGAAATCCGTTTGTATCACAAAGGATTTATCATGGGGTGCAAATTAGTTTCCGGGTCCAATTCAAAGTGTTGCTTTTTCACCTATAAAGCCTTATGCGGCTCAGGACCCCAATACTGCAAGGACCATCTCTCCCCATATGAACTAACCCAGACCCTGCAATCATCATCTGAGGCCCTTTTCCACATGCCCCCTTCTTAGGAGGTCCGGAGGGTAGAAACACGAGAACAGGCCTTTTAGGTGGTGGCTCCCTGCTTGTGGAATGCTCTCCCCAGGGAGGCTCTCCTGGCACCATCACTGCATATCTTTAGGCGTCAAGCAGAAACATTTATTTTCCACCAGGCCTTTAGCTTTCAATTATCTATGGTGGGTGGGATGTTATAATCTAGGGCTGCCATACATCCGGAATTTCTCAGACACAGCCAGGATTCATCCGTCGAAAATGGCGTCCTGGTGAAATTTTCAGAAAATGGCAAAAATATCCGGGCGTATGGCAGCCCATATCGGAAGTGTTGATTTTTTTGGTGATTTTCCTAAAAAGTAGGTAAATAAACATTGGGGGGGGGGGAGATTTTGCAAAACAAAAGCTATTATTATGACAACCTTATTATAATCCAGCTTTATAAAAGCAGAATTGTCTTTTGCTTTTGCTTTTCAATGCTGGTTTCAAAATATGAGTTTGCTTGTTTCTCCATTCTGAGTCACTTTTGAGTTACTATGGTTAAAGAATGACCAATAAATTTAATAAATAATAGCAACAAATCCTCCAAGTATTTGCCAACAAAGGTCCGTATATTAAAAGCTATGGTTTTCCCAGTAGTGATGTATGGAAGGGAGAGCTGGACCATAAAGAAGGCTGATCGCCGAAGAATGGATGCTTTTGAATTATGGTGCTGGAGGAGACTCTTGAGAGTCCCATGGACTGCAAGAAGATCAAACCTATCCATTCTGAAGGAAATCAGCCCTGAGTGCTCACTGGAAGGACAGATCCTGAAGCTGAGGCTCCAAGACTTTGGCCACCTCATGAGAAGAGAAGACTCCCTGGAAAAGACCCTGATGTTGGGAAAGATGGAGGGCACAAAGAGAAGGGGACGACAGAGGACAAGATGGCTGGATAGTGTTCTCGAAGCTACCAGCATGAGTTTGACCAAACTGCGGGAGGCAGTGGAAGACAGGAGTGCCTGGCGTGCTCTGGTCCATGGGGTCACGAAGAGTCGGACACGACTAAACGACTAAACAACAACAAAGCAACAAATCCTCCAAGTATTTGCACAGGAGTAATTTCCACAGTGCTTGAAGGGGAAGACACAGAGTCTTCCACTGACAGGCAAGATATTGACACTTCCATTCTGGTGCAAGAGCAGCTCACGGTCTCAAATCTACTCGCCTCGCACATGTCGGACTTCTTGGGTCCTGGGCTGCTGGAGTCTGCACTGGCACCTTCCGCCGGGCTGTGGGACCGGATCCTGCTGCTCATCTGAATGCCTCCTTCCTCCTCTTCTGCCTGCTCGCTCTGCCCGGGGCTGTCTCCGCTGCCCGCCCCTTGCGGAAGAGGCGAGTGCAAGACCTCCGTGCAAAAGAGGGTGCGAGGCCCGTGCAGCTCACAAAAGTGGCAAAGCACAACGATGGCGTTCATTGCGACTCCCCGGCAGGAATCCCTGGAAAATCAAGAGAGAGGCGCAGGTCTCAAACACAGCCTTTCCAGAACCTGTGCCTCAAAAAAGAATCCACTCGCATTCCTGGAGGAGCAAAGAGCAGCATTTTCCGCACTCTGCTCCCTGAAAAACTGGCAAACCGTCCCCTAGTATGCCCTATATTTAATATATTACTTTCTAATATTTATATCCCGCCTTTCTACAAGGAATAAGGCAGCTGCCAACATGAAAACATAACAGGCAAAGCTCCTTGATAGTGGATAAATTGATATCAAGGTGGTATACAGTGGTACCTCGGGTTAAGTACTTAATTCATTCCGGAGGTCTGTTCTTAACCTGAAACTGTTCTTAACCTGAAGCACCACTTTAGCTAATGGGGCCTCCTGCTGCTGCTGCGCTGCCAAAGCCCGATTTCTGTTCTTATCCTGAAGCAAAGTTCTTAACCTGAAGCACTATTTCTGGCTTAGTGGAGTGGGTAACCTGAAGCATATGTAACCTAAAGCGTATGTAACCAGAGGTACCACTGTACATGATTCCCCCACCTCCATTTCCTCTTCACAACAACCCTGTGAAGTAGGCTGGAACACCGGAGCTGGTCCTAAGGTCAGCTGTAAGTTACACAGCTGAGCAAGGACTCGAACCCTCATCTCCCCAGTCCTTGCCCAACCCTGCAACTCCTACGCAACACTGCCTCCCAGTACAAAATGAAACCGCATTGCTTAAATAGGTAATCTAAAAACTGCAGTCAAAGAGCATTATAGCTAGCTAGCTATAGCACCAGGCACCTCTTAGCTGACAATCCAGCAAGTCTTCCCCCAAGACTTGCCCTTCCCTGTCTGGGGTCTGTAAAAGCTCCTCCATCTTCTCACCCATTAGCTCTTCCCAACCCTCCTTCGTGTGTTTCTTCCCCTTGGGCAGCTAGGCAGGAGCAGATCTGTTTGAATATTTTGAGTTTGAGCTGCGACCTGTTTGAATATCATTTCTGGTTGCTTGTTAGCTTCTACCAGCATAATAAGCCAATGCAAGCGAGTCTAGTCAAAAGTGCAGGACAGGGAAGTTTTTAAAATGCATAGATTCTGGAGTGGGGACTCCCCATGCTGCTTGCCTTGAGTTCTAAACATGCTCGCTCCTTCTCTCTGCAGGAAACTTGAGCTCAACACGCATCCAAAGAAACACCCCCAACCCACCATCCCTAGCCATGCTCTGGCATTCCCAAGCATTCCCCCAAGACCTTACCCCTTTGTTCCCTCCGCAGGTGCAAAACCAAGCTCCTAGTCCTGAGTGAGGTCGGCTTCTATCGCGGGTCTAGGGACAACATTCTAAACCTTGCTTCCGCCAACCTTCTATGCGCATGCGCAGCTGTCCAGACTTCTGGTCCTGCCCGAAGCGCCTGACACTGACTGGGCGGGACGTACCATTAGGCCCACTCTCTAAGGGGGAGGCAAGCGAGCTCTAGTCACCTTCAAGGTCCGGCGGAGAACAAGGGTAACAGAGGGGAGAGTCGAAAGAACAGCTACAAAAAAACTCAGTTCCAGAACCTCGCATGTTAGCCTCCAGGCATTCTCCTCCTAATCGTCACTGATACCCCCTAGAATAGGAAAATGATCTCGCCCTCGCCTACTCCAGCTAGGAGAGAATGGGCGGGTCTATCTATGAAAGAGGGGGGGGGTTCGCAATAATATTTCCGCAATACAAATCTGGGGTTCGTGCCGTCTCAGGAAGAGAATGGAGGCAGAAAGGTTGAAAATCTACTGAGAATAGGGAAGGCGATCAGAGCAAGTGCCTCTCAGTCACGGGCTCTTCTTTCTGCTCCCCCCCATGCCTTTAGGGAGATGTTGCGAGCCAGAGAGTCCTGTGACAGTCATGTGACAGAAGCAACGCAGAACAACAGAGTCACCTGAAAAGGCCAGATGTTTTCTGAAAGCAGATTGGAAAAAGTGCTGTGCCTTTAGTGCAATTGTTTTATTTATGTTTTATTGATTTAATATGCTGTAAACGGCTTTGATATTTTTCTTAAAAATATGAAGTGGCATAGAAATTAAAAAAATAAAATAGATAAAATAAATTGAGCTCCATGCCCTGGTGACTTCCAGGCTGGATTACTGCAGTGCTCTCCTCGTGGGACTGCCCTTGAAGACAGTTGGTCCACAATTCAGCTGCCTGGGGTTCCCTTAGACCTCACAGAATCCCGTGTTTTCCAGCCAGGCAAAATCACCCAGGCTGCGAAACGGGGATGCGGCCTGCAGAAGGGTTCTGGGGGCCAGGTGGAGAGATTTGGAGGCCACATTTGACCTCTGCAATTGAGGCTCCCCAACCCTGGTATCCAACTATTACAGGGAAGGAACAAAGGGAAGTGGCCCAAGCTGCTCCCAGATCTCGTACCTTGTTTCTCCTAAGCAAACAGTGACTGGGAGCCTGAGAGCAAATGTTGGCTTTTGAGAAACAAAAGCATCAGGTTGATATCAGATACAGGTGAGCCGATGGGTCTCAAACCCTCGGTGAGTTAGGAACATGTCCTGCATGCAAAGACAGGCTCTGGTAGATTGAGTGTACAAGAGCAACATTGGGTCGAACGGTCAAGAAGGCGGTTTTTACATAAGACGTAGAGGGAAGTGAGGGGCAGGTGGGGCTCATTCACCTGGGAAGGTAGCCCATCTGGGAGATGGCAAACTCTGGTCCAGGGCTGTCTTAAGCATATGCGGCGCCGGGGTGCAGAGATCCACTCAGCACCCCCCTCCCCAGTTGCCCAGTCCCAGGCATGCAGGAGGGCAGAACCAGCCGGCCGCCTCAGCATCTCGCTGGCTCAGTCGCCCCTGAACTCATGGCGAAGAGCCGCCCGCAGCAGAAGAGCCCACCGCGGTGCTCCGACCGACGGGTGGGCTCTTCCCTGGACTCAACTCTCGGGCCCCAGACTCTCAGCCTGGCGCCCCTGAAAGCCCGGTGTCCCACACCCCTAACGCCTATGGGCAAGACAGCCCTGCTCTGGTCCTAAGCCTCCAGTGCCTTATGGCTACACTCATTTGTGAGAAAGGATTTGGGAGTAAACCGCAAGGAAGAATCCGTACCCATTGCCTTGTGGGACACCTTGTGGGAAGAAAAGGGCTAAGGAGTAAACCCAGAGCGGGTGTGTGTGCCATTATTTGGTCTAGGATCTGATACAGCTACATATATAAGAACAAAAAGCCTGCTGGATCACACCATATCCAAAAAAGAATTCCATGCAGATGAATAAGGTGGTTGATGAAGGAAGGATGCAGGGTTCCATTGCTCTTCTGCACCTAAGATATACACCAAGCACCCGGCACAGAAACACAGCAGGCTGCTGCAGAACAGACAGTGCATTACATCCCTTTTTAGTGATTCCAGCAAGCTGGTAGAAATGTTTTGCAGGTGGTAACATTGGTAAGCTTGTTTCAAGGCTGCATTATCGTCATGGCTTATTGTCGCAGTAGCATCATAAGAACGTAGCACCAAGCAGATTGGAGCAAAGGCGCATCTAGCCCATCATCCCACAGCGGCCAGCAACATGGGTTGGTGAGCCTCCGCAAAACCCACAAGCAAGACATGAGAAGAACAGAAGGCGAACCGGATGGATCAGGCCAATGGTTTATCTAGTCCAGCATCCTGTTCTCACAGTGGCCAGTCAAATGCCTGCAGGAAACCTGCAAGGAGGATCTGAGCACAAGAGCAACTCTCCCCTCCTGTGGCTTCCAGCAACTGGTATTCAGAAGCATATTTGCCTCCGACTGTGGAGACAGAGTAGAGCCATTGTGGCTAGGAGCCATTGCTAGCCCTCTTCCTCCATTAATTTGTCCAAGCCTCTTTTAAAACCATCCAAGTAGGTGATCATCCCTGACTCCTGCGGCAGCGAGTTCCATACGTTTAACTGTGTGCTGCATGAAGAAATATTTTCTTTTATCTGTCTTCAGTCTTCCAGCATTCAGCTTCATTGGATGTTCACAAGTTCTAGTGTTATGAGGGAGGAAAACATTTCTGTATTCACTTTCTCCTTGCCATGCATAATTTTAAAAACTTCTATCATGTTGCCTCTTACTTGCCTTTTCTCTGAACTATGGTAAAGGTAAAGGTACCCCTGACCATTAGGTCCAGTCGCAGACGACTCTGGGGTTGCGGCGCTCATCTCGCTTTACTGGCCGAGGGAGCCGGCGTTTGTCCACAGACAGTTTTCCCGGGTCACGTGGCCAGCATGACTAAGCCGCTTCTGGCGAACCAGAGCAGCGCGCAGAAACACCATTTACCTTCCAACCGGAGTGGTACCTATTTATCTACTTGCACTTTGACATACTTTTGAACTGTTAGGTTGGCAGGAGCAGGGACCGAACAATGGGAGCTCACCCCATCGTGCGGATTCGAACCGCCGACCTTCTGATTGGCAAGCCCTAGGCTCTGTGGTTTAGACCACAGCACCACCCGTGTTCTCTGAACTAACAAGTCCCAAATGCTGCAATCTTTCCTCATAGCAGAGTTGCTCCATCCCTTAAGTAGCATATTGAAAAAAAACTTGGAAGCCTTGTGTGTGATCTTTTTTATTCATCACTAAATAATACAGGGTTGGTTTTTTTTTGGTTTTTTAAAAAAGCTCCTCAGTACTGACCTGTCGCAGCCATGCAAAACAAACCCCACATCTCTCCCTATTATACAGAGTAATCCTGTGACAGCACACATAAGACAGCTCACAACGGCACTGAGTAATAAAGGAAAACTTCTGCAACAGAATGGTTTTTTTAAAAAACAACAACAACACTAGGATGGAAATGGGAAGAAATTTAATGTAAACTGAAGGTGAAACTGGTGTGCAAGGTGCACACTGCAACATTGCTTTATATGGCATAGTACAGATTGTTAAAACTGCTGCAGATTTTAGCTTCATCCTTTATGAGTCTCTGCAGGTCAGAGGGCAGCTGCATTTGAGGCAAGCAATCTTCCACTTGATTAAGGATCACAGAACCAAAAGGATTTTCAGATTAAGCTATAGATCACACAGGCCTTTCCTTCCAGTCATTAAAGAAGAGTCCAAGGTTGCTTAAAGCAGCCTTTTCCCAACCTTCCAGATGTTTTAGATCACAAATCCCATCAGCCCCAGCCAGCGCAGGTTGTCTAAAACATCTGGAGAGCTCCTAGTTGGAAAAGGCTGTTCTATAGATAGTAAGGGGAACTTGGTCCCCTCCAGGTGTGGCAGGACTGCATCTCCCATAATCTTAGCCGTTCTTGGCTGGAGCTGATGGGAACTAGTCTAACATCTGGATAGCCTAAAGAGAACTTAGAAATACACCTCAACCTCTGTTACTGTTCTGTGGGATATCAAGTACGATGACGACTGCCATAGCACAGGAGCAACAGTCGCGAACTATGGAACAATTATGGATGGAAATAAACTCGGAAAGATTTCTTTGGAAAGACAAGCAAATCAATCAACCCACAATTGTAAGGGCTAAAAAAAAAGGCAGTGTTTTAGATCTAATAAGAATTTCATGCTAATTGCGAATACTGAATTTCATGTTGTGAATCAAGCTGTAAGCCTCTTTGAATCTTTCGCCATGAGCTCAATAGGTAGGCTAAGGAAAATTACCAAATCTCTGCCTCATCCCATCCCAGTCTGCAATGCCAGAATGAGTCTGGCCTACTGTTGTGAGGTTTACAACATAGTGCACGTGGAACACTTTGAATATTTTAATAGCGCCATACAAATATTAGTGAAGCATTTTCCACTGAAAGGAAGTCTTTGCTAGTTTGACTACAAACCATGGCTTACGCAGTACGGTTTCTGCAAACCATTGTTTGCAAATCGGGAGCCGCCCTTGGGGACCTGCACTCCTTCCCCCCTCGCCAACACTAAATTCATGAGCATGCATGTTATAATCATGCTTCCTTTGCAAGCAACTTTTTAGGAGCATGAATCTGCTTTAGACAGAGGGATCCTGTATCTTGCTGCTGTCTGCTCGGACTGGCAGCAGCTCTCCCAGGCTTGAGACGGGGAGTCTTTTCCTAGCCATACCTGGAGATGCCAATGAATGAACCTGGGACAAAAGCTCACCACAACTTACAAACCAGTGGTAACGTTGGGGAACCTAGTGATCAATCCTGCATGTGTAATTATAAGTCACGGTTGAAGCTGAAAAGTGGACGGCAAAACTTGCTCCAGCATGAGGTGTGTATACACAACAGGAGTCATAGAATCGTAGAGTTCTATGAGAGAATGCAGGAATCTTTTGAAAGAAGACATCACCAAAGCTGGCTTCCGCTTAGAAAGCCATCGTTTACACAGGGAACCAGAGCTACAGCTTTCTCAAGCTGACTTTGCACATGCAAACTGCATGCAAGTGTCCAATAACTAGAGATTGTTCCCCCAACTCGCAGGCAGACTTCAGGGGCTGCAAGCAAGCGATTCAAAGTAATGCTTGAAGCTGAGCCTCAACATTAGAGCAGAGACTGCATTGAAGATTTGACCTATCCTGCAAGATGGAAGGGTCACACTACGTCGGGCTCAGTAGCCAAGTATCTACAATTCACGCAGTGGCTTATAGGAACTGAAATTTATTTCCAGCATTGGCAACACAGCACATGCACCAAGGGTGGGCAGATCTACGTGGTCTACTCCAACTGTAGAATCCCTGCCACAGCAAAGTGTTCAAAGGTTAGGAGGGGTCCGTAGTTAAGGTCACTTAGATCTTGCCCAACATGATATCCTGTGTGTGGCGCTTCAGTTTAACACACATCCTCTAGACCGCCTAACAGATAAGGACGAAGTTAGCATTCATTAAATCTAGGGTTCCCAGATGTTGTAGGACCACAACTCCCATCATCCCCCAGGCAGATCAGCCAGTATCGTCATCATCATTTAAATTCCTTACCCACCCCTTCGCCAGTAAGTCCCAGGGCAGGTTACAGCCATCTGAAATCAAAATTAAATATTGCTAAAACAGATTGCAATCACAGGAAAGCACGCATCTCAGGTGTCAAAGGCCAGGATAAGGAGGAATTCCCAGGAATGATGGGAGTTGTAGTTCAACAGCTGGGGATCCCAGGTTGAAAAACCCTGATCAAAGTGACCTGTTTTAAGTGATCCTGAGAATGTCCTGTTGCATCAGCATGTGAGCTTGCAGGATCGGATCAGGTTTCACCTAGAGCAGAATTCTTCCAGCGCCTTAGCACCCGGTAGCCACTAACAAACATGTCTTCCCATCCCTGATGTAACTCATCTGTTGGGGCACTAGGCTGCTCCCATATCAGTACTGTGATAACCCCACATCTCCAGTTCAAATTGCTGCAAGTGTTGGTACATGCTTATGACGCTAACTAGGGTGGGTTCACTTTAAGGTTAAAATTCTAAATCTCCACTCGTGACACGTGACACTGTGCAAGCCGTCTTGTTTAGGTTTTTAAGCTTGTTCTGTCTTTAGCCCCCAACCCTGATAAAACACCTGCACATCACCAATCTTCAAAATGCTCTGAATTTATCTTTCAAGTTTCTTCGAGTGGGGGGGTCTATACCTATCATTTGAGAACCACCGGCCCACACACTAGGCAGGTGTTAAATTTAAACCAATAGGTACTTTACAGAAGTTACAAAACGATGCGGTTTTTAAAAGCCCCAAAGCAAGTATTAACCACGGCTTCCTTCCAGAGTCCTTGAATTAAATCCCCCACCACATTAAAAAACAGAACTGTGCAAGAGAACTTCAGAGCAAGCAAAACTTTAAAAATACATATATGCTACAACCTGTATTTTTCATACACATTAAAAACCGCTTGTGAATATAAAATGCCATGCCTGTTTCCTAGCTCTGGTATATAAAGTGCCACAAGAGCTTCTCAAGAGTGCAAAAACAAATAAAAACCAGTGTTTTATATGTTCTACTTTCCAAAACTCATCTACATCCCGTTTCAGGTTTTGCAAAAGTATCTAAAGACACATGCACAAACCCCTTTTGAAGATGACTTCAAGAATACTAACTCCCACCCCGTGGTCACAAATCCCTTTCCAGAGCTCACATATGCTCTCAATGCGACAGAAATAAATTAGGATACAGTGGAGCCACACCAGCCATGGAAACGATTGACTCGGACCTTCCATGCCAGAGCGGATCGCAGTGATCAATTCTGAACCACACATGGGCGACTAAATTCCATTGGCTGGACTGATTTCGAATGTGTGGCTTTAAGACAGATCCTTGTTCTTAAGGATGGCGGGATCATTTTGCACTCCTGTACAGTACGTCATTTAAGAGAGATGCCCTAGAATGTACTGGGTGCTGCAGGACCACAACAGCACCTCCTCTCTACCTTTTGATCAAGCCAGGTAGGGCTGGAATAAGCAAGTGGTCGTGATGGGAGAAGCCCAGCTGAGAGGCTGAGAAGGGGAAGCAGCAGGTGGAGCCAGTGGCTGCTAGCCAGGCAGAAGTTTTTGTTCATGGCGGGCAGTTCACAGGCTCCCTTATCAAAAGGTCTAGCACGAGGCCAGCTTCTCTGCTTTAGAAATGGGAGAGGCAGGTACAATCTGGGAGAATATTCTCCATTCATCCCTTGCCAGTCAGATTTGAGGAGTCTTTAATCTAGTAATAGCTACCACCAAGTAAAGGTATGTACCAGTTTAATTAGGCGCGTGGGGGGGGAGAATAAACCATTCCCCCTCCCTTAATAATAAGCTATCCTGCTTATATACAAAGTTCATTCAGAAAGGTTGTATTTCAAACAAATGAGGCAAAAAAAAAAAAAATGCTTTTAGACCAACTAGCCCTGTCTTGTTCCCTGAAGAAGCAACATAAAACTTCTTGAATGTCTCATGGAGGAAAAGAAGGGCCATTATGAAAACAAAGCCATGTAAAACAAAAAGTAAATTATTTAATGCAATAACGATGTTAACCTCAAGATAAATCCACAACAGAATGAGATTTTTCCTTTCCTTGCAGAGAATATTTGGGGAATCACACAGTACTGAGAAGACATCATTTTAATTTTGCTCAATGTCCAGGCGAAACAGTTCTTTTTTTTTAACACTCTGATCCTAAAGGTGGTTCTCTTTAGTTTTTTTCTGTTTTTTTGTTGCTCTATGACAGAGTAGCAAGTAAAATGTGATTTTCAAGAATAACTGGATGGTTTGCTTCCTGATTCGTCTTCCTGGGAGCCCATACTCTGTCAAGGAAAGGGAAAAGTTGTTAGTACCTACTTCCAAAACACAGGCAATAAGAAAAAGTACAGGCCACATTTGCACCATACATTTAAAGCACTATGATAAAACATTAAACAGTCACAGCTTCCCCCAAAGATCCTGAGTGCTGTAGCAGTTTGTGAAAGATGCTGAGAATTGTTAGGAGACTCCTGTTCCCCTCAGAGAGCTACAATTCCCAGAGTAATAATCAACGCCTCTTCCCCATGTGATTTTTCTAAACGTTGGAAATTACTCTGAAGCCATTTCTTGGCTTATATTTCAGTCAGGTAAAAAGGAGCTGTAATTTGGGGGTGACAAAGAGAAACGTGTCCTTGTGAATCCAGCAAAATAGGAAACAACACCGCTGGGACTAATCTGTAAGGTGGTGAGAGGAGGGGTGTGTGGAAATGGCGCAACCCACTGGATAAGCAGCAATGCACTGTGCTTTCTGTTCAAAAAAGGGTGCTTGCTTCCATGCATGCTTAACGTTTGACTTCCACGCACATAGCTCAGTTGGTTAGAGTGTGGTGCTCATATTGCCAAGGTTGCAGGTTCAATCCCCATATGGGGCAACTGCATATTCCCGCATTGCAGAGGGCTGGACTAGTTGGTCCTCAGCGTCTCTTCCAAGTCTACAATTCTATGAAAAAGGCCAAACAGAGCTGAGTCCTGCCACTTACCTTCTGCACAAACTGAGGGTTCACAGTGATCTCCTGATCCATGGCTTTCAGTCTCTCATCAAGCTCTATACATTTCAGCATCTGGGGAGAGTCAGATTATACAGGACAGTCACAGTTTGTTAGCTTCAGCATCCACATTGAAGTCCTATGGTCAGACGTGTGTCAGAATTCCCAGGCACCACATATATAACCTGCTTGCCAGAATCTTGGAATCCATCCCAGTAACCACTTTGAACGCTTTATCCTCTCCCTTGCCGTTCGCTTCAAGACTGCTGCTTTACAGATTTGGGTATCGTTACAAATACGTGTTTGTTGCTAAGAACCCAGGCATCCGGGGCAGGGCAGCAAGGAAGAAGAGAACATTGAATGCATTTTCACTGGGCCAGTCAAGGTAACCATCAGGAAGTTACCGCTGCCCAAAGCCACAATCAATTCTGAAATGCAGCGACCAAGGGCAAGGAAGGAATTTGGCCCATCCCCTCTGATGTTTCTATGGCAGGAACAGACAGAAGGTGGAAGAGGATCTGTTGAAAGGTGTCTGGGTGGTATGCAGGAGGCTTCCTTGATGCCCAATTGTTTAACTGCAGCAATCTGCACCAGGACCCCAGCCACTATTTTGCCCTTGGCTCAATGATGGATTCCCAGCTTAGAGGACTGCCATCTTATGAGCACACACCTGGAAGCAAGGCCTATGAAACTCAGGGCGACTTATCTGAGAGTAAACACCCAGAGATTTTTCAGCAGTGCCGTTTAAATCAGCTCTCACTCTCTCTCTTATATCCAGAATCTTGCCTTTCAACTTCATAAGCAGCATCAGTTTAAGTGCTTGCTTTCCATAAATTCACTGCCTGAATTCATCCCAAGGGCTTTAATTGTGAGGCTGGAAGATTCTGGGGGTGGGCTCTGTCCATACAGGAGAAAGAGGAAGGTGGGGACAGAATGAACTATGCTGCTTCAGACTTCCTGGCAGGAGGGCGGGCGGGAATGATTTTCAATTCTCTCCTGTGAGTTAAATCAGAACACCTCCCAGAAAATTCGAAAGCTGGCACAGCAGTGACTAGAACCAGCTCTGGGTTGTGCTAGGTATTTGAATGCTTGGGGTTTTTTTAAAAGAATTAATAGGGAATGCATAATGTGCCACAGAGCTTGCTGTTCTACTGACTCGTTCTGCTGCTCATGGCAACCATAACCGAGGTGAAAATGAAGGGTTATTTACCTCCTGATCGATATTGTGAAGCATAGCTGGATTGTTGTACTTTTCAGGGTTGTCATGGAAACATACCATACCATCCTTCTGGTTAATACTTGCAAAGATTTCGCCATCTTCTATCTGAAATAACAAGATTTTAGTGTTTTATGATTTGGGCGCTGTTCCTGTTTCATCTTGCCTCTGCCATCCCACCCAGAAGACCCTCCAACTGCCTGTATTCCCCGCATCTTAACTGACAGCAAAACCTCCAAGAAAGGCAGTGCTCCCCATCTCATAACCAGGAATGTGTGGTCTCATAATAATAATAATAATAATAATAATAATAATTTAAAATTTAAAAAACACCCTTGTTTTGACATGAAGATCAATACGTTTTGATTTGTGCTATCATAATAATATCATAATAACTTTGCCTATCCTGGTAAATTAAGTTGTTAGGAATATTCATTATCATCCTATTGTACTGGTTAATGTTGACTACTTGCAATGACCTCTAGTTTCTTTTCCCCCCTATAATTTTTTTTAATTTTCTGTTTCACATTTTAGAATATTCATTTAAACAATCTTAAAATATCAGTGACTTCCCTTCTTCTCTTTCCATGGTTCATTTTGCATAACATAAATCCCTGCATAATTTAGATAAAACTAAAACATTCAGTATTCCATTATTACATCCCTCAAAACTTATTTACACTGTTGAATTTATCTTAATGCTGCCCACGTTTTCAAATAAGCACAATTCTCCTCCATATATTCAATAAACATTTTCCAATCTTCTTTAAACATATGTTCTTCTTGTTCTCTTATTCTATATGTTAGGTCCGCAAGTTGCGCACATTCCATATGATCTCTAGTTTCAATTGTTTGCAATTAACCTGATCGCTACTGAAAGCAATATATTCAGAAAAGGGACGTTCAAATAAATCCGACTTGACATTTCGTTCAAAAAGCAACATTCCTTACCATATGAAGGACATATTTTTCTGCTTCCTGAGGCCCCGATAGCTGCACTCTACTTGCCATGTCTTGTAACGACAGCGTTAAAAATGTCTGAAATCCAGAAGCAGAGCAGATTCATTAGAGATTTCTGCAAACTCTGACCAACTCCCATGGGGAACTAGCACACCCAGGACCACCCCTGAAAGCCTGCAAAAGGGCAGAAGCCAAGATAATCAGAAGCCAGGTGTGTGATGCTGTCGGCAGGTAACATTTTAGACTTTACGAAAGCACCCATGAGAACCAGACAAGCAATTTTGCCAGGTGGCAAAAGACCCTCAGCTAAGACACACCTGCATAACGTTCCCAAGGACTCATAGGAATACAGCAGAACGGATGCCTCACCTTAGTTAGCCTCTGAATGTTCTTTTTATAGAGAGATGACAAGCACTGCTTCACCAAACCCATATTATTATCCCTGGTGAAGGTCTCGCTGTGCTTATTCACCAGATTCCGTAGCTCCGAGGGCTTATTGGTTGCATACACTTGCGCTAATTCATGGTAGGCATTGCTAAGTGGCTGTGATGAGAAAGCAAAATAAGACTTTTTCAAATGCAGAGAAGGGCAACTCAAAACACCAATGAGGACCCCCATCGGGAGCTAGTGATCTCAACAGCTGTCTTATCCCAACACAAAGCATTGGTCTATTTAGTCCAGTACTGCCGGCTCTGGCTGGAAGCAGCTCTCCAAGGCCCCAAGATTTCCCCACCTCTGCTACCAAAATCATTGTTAGCTGGGGATGCCAGGGATTGACTAGAGGACGTGGACTGCAAAGGTTATGCACCACCATTGAGCAACACCTCTTCTCCTTATAACCTGGAATGAGTCTGCTATTCCCAAAAATCTCCTGTTCTTTTGTTTTTTTCCTAAAAGCAGGAGAGAAAACAGACAACTCCGACTGCACAGCTTTGCCCATTCATTTCATTAATCCCAATTATTACTTTTACTAATGCTCAATTTTAAATAGCAAGTTTTGATTTTGATGATTGTTCCTGTAAATTCCGTTTTCTGCTTTAATTTTTTCCACTTTTTTGCACTGCTATGGCCCAAGAACTACTGTAATTAAAGTTCTCCTCCTCCTCCATCACAGTTTTGCCTTAAAAAAATAAATAATGCACCAGTACAGGATTTCTGGAGTCTTACCTTAACGAACCTACCCACTATCTGGGAGGTATACTTCGGCAGTTGCTGCACTTTGCCAAGTAGTATCAATGAAACTAGGATATACTTTTTATAGGATTCCAACATAATATGACTGACTGCCATGGCAGGAGTTGTTATAGCCTGTAAAAGAAAAAAAATTAAGGGAGCAAATGAAAATCACCAGAAACAAACAAATACACAGAGAGAGGCTGCATTTGCAGTCCTAATCCGTGAGCCATGGTCAAGCAGATTATCCTGTGCACATGCAGCAAAAGCTCTCCCCTGTTGCTCCTTGTGTGCTCCAGTAGAGAAACGAACTTCTGTTTCCTTCCAAACAAACCACAGTCCTAAATCAATGCTTGCTCTTGGGTTCCCAGTCATTATTTTCTAGGAATAAACAAGGAATGGTATATATGGGAACGGCTTGGTCACTTCCCTTTGTTCCTTCTCTTTTATAGCTGTATACCGGGGTGGGGAACCTCAGCTGCAGGGGACAAATGCAGCCCCCAAGCCTCTCCATCTGGCCTTTGGCACTCTCCCCTGGACCACGTCCCTGTTTTGCACCCTGGGCGATTTTGCCCAGCTGGGATATGTTCCCTGAACTCTGATCAGGCCTCTTGCTTGACTGGATGGAGGAGAGAGGGGGTGTGTGTGTGTGCGCGCAGAAACAAGCCTATTGTACCCAAGGTAACATTTACATCCATTCTTCCGCCCACTTATGCCTCTGCCTCCACCCACCACTGACCTGTGGCCCTCGCAAGGTCACTCAGAAGGGGATGTGCCCTCAGGCTGAAATAGGTCCCCCCCAATACTGTGTATCAATCCATTTGTTAGGCAGAAGCGTCAGTTAAAGGGAACACTGTTAGGATATAGTTTCATTCCACCTTAAAAGGGTCAGGCATGACTGTTGTGTATCACATGCCTGTTTATGTCCAGCACAGTCTGCTGGGAACTTCCGTTGTATGTTGCTTTTGCTGGACACGAAGGGAAGCAGACATGTTTATTCCTTTGTTCCTGAACTATGCTGAATCACAGCACAGACTTGCTAACGGCCTATACTGTTATGGGTGCAAAGAATTGTCTCCAGGTGAGGATAGGTTTTGTAAGTGGAGGAAGTCTTCTTTTTCATTATTTGCAGGCTCTTGCTGCAACCAGAAATGACTGGGGAAATCTAGTAGCTTCTGATGCGCCTATCAACAGAGCTGTTACAGACTGAAGTTGACCCCTCCTGAGGCACAGAGAGCTCTCCTTCAACACACGGGTGAGGCGGGGGAAGTTACCTGCTCATAGAAGTACAGTGCTCTTTCAAAGTTCTTCAGCCCAGTGTATATCATTCCACCATAGTAGTAGTAACATAGAAAGTGCTTTGCATCGTAAGCCCCATTCTCCTTACAAATATCCATCATGTCCACATCTAGATACGGAAGGGCAGGTTTAAAGCATTTTGCTAACAAACAGAGCTGAAACAAAACAGACCAGAGTTACCAAAAAAGCAAACCAACCAGCCACTTTCACACGCTGCCTTTGTTCAAATCCAATCTTTCCTGCTTTAAGAACAGAGCTTTAATCACAAGTCATGGCAAAATGCTAACAGAATTACATTATGAAACCTCATGAGAGAACGAGATGCTGGGAGTCTCAGCCCCGTTGAGTGAAATAACCCTAATAATTTGGACTCCTGAGAAATATGGACCATTACATTGGCAGTCAGGAGAGAGTGAGATTAGGGCAGTGATGGCCAAACTTGGCCCTCCAGCTGTTTGGGGACTACAATTCCCATCATCCCTGACCACTGGTCCTGTTAGCTAGGGATGATGGGAGTTGTAGTCCCAAAACAGCTGGGGGGCCAAGTTTGGCCATGACTGGATTAGGGGGTGGTCACAACTGCATTTACAAAACATGCAAATGGCTTCATCAGGATGCTTGAATAACTCTTTCAAAAAACTGGGTTGATGTAGGTGTAGCATAACTTTAACTGCCTTCCCACTTTATAAGCCTACGAGTCCCACTATTATTCATGCTAAAGCATGTTAACTGTTGCACACCGAACCACTCAAGGTTATGCATGTCATACAAAGGTGCGTTAAGCGTTGTTTGTTTCTATTTGTTACTTTTCTGGTTAGGCTTTATTTTTGTTTAAAGCATGGCATTACAGATCCTCTTACTACAGCTTGTCTCATCTCTGGAGCCAGACTGAAAGAGAAAGGGAACAAGCTTCTCCGTCCATTGAAGTGACTTGATGCCAATTCACACAGCTATCTGGAGTCGCAAGGCTACTGTCGGCATAAGGTATCTGGAATACTTTATTGCTATAAGCAACTTCATCTATTCCCGGGGTTGAGTCGAAAGCTAAACTGGGAGATGCCATGTCACTGTTGACCAACTGCCCACTGTGAACAACTAGCTTTGTAAGGAACTCTGCAGTGCTGCAGGAAAGGTCACCATGACTCAGAAGTTCTGCAACAGCACAACAAGCAGCAGACATACTTGATCAGCCTTTACTTTTGTTTCAAGCTATTCATTGGAATATACATGGCTGGAAGGGATCGTGAGGATGTTTTGATGAAGCTTCCTGCACTGTGAGCACCCTTGAAGCAAAAGCACTCAGCCTGTTAGCCTTCCGGATTCCCTTACCTGGCAAAGATCTGCATGTATTGAGGTCAGCTGGTTGGTGTTCATCTGCATCTTGTCTATGGCTTGCCTGAGAATGCCAATTCCTCGCAGGGGCTGTCGGAAAGGTAATAGGTCTCTGTTAGGGAAGCCTCCGCAAGGGACCCCAGCGGCAGCACTTATAAATGTAAAGGTTGGAATGTGATCTGCAAGGCCTCCTTTGATGATGCCAGTGATCCACCAGGCCCAGTGATCTAATATGGCAAGGTGGTTCTGCTGTATCCCAGGCACTGGAAGGGCTGGGAAACATACTGCCAGTCCCAGGGTCAGCATAAAAATACCTCCTCTAGTATGAAAACAGCAAACTTATATTGTGCAACATACTCCAAAGAAGTGAACAGAGACATACCAACAGAAAAGAGAAAAGGTTCAGAATTAGTGCATGAGGAAAGGCAAAATTTTAGTTGGCCAGAAGACATGTACTATCCCAGCACCCGAAAGAGAATCTGGAGCATGTTTGGGCTTGTTTACCTGCTTCCGCTCCACAAGGGCATTGGTTAACTGGTGACACAGGCCAGCAACTAGAGACAACGAAACAAGAAAAAGAAAGAGTGAGCAGCCCCACAAAGGGAACACGTCAAACGTGGCAAGAGGCAAGGCTGCTGAAATAACTCACAAGTGTCTGTTGCGTATCGAATGTGTTCCCCATTACAAGTGCTGATAAAAAGCTGGACCTGCGAGAATAACGTTTCGAAGTCAGGGACGCTGGGCATGGAAAACTTCACAAACCTGAAAACGAAGACAGAACCCACGTTTTAACAGGAGCTTTCACGTGAAAATGGGCACGGCTCTTAAAAGCTGCCAGAATGCAGAATAGGACTGCTCCAAAGGCAATGAACCATTGCTTCAATCTGCACATTCTAACATTTCTTGCAGTGGAAACAGAGTAATCTGCAACCTTCATGAATAAAAACGTAAAAACTCGCATACAGCAAGTCCGTACACCCTTTCAAACCTTCAATTCAAAAATTTCAAATGAAGGAAAGTAACTTACAAGACTGCAAGAACCCCTAAGGAGTGTTCTTGAACATCCAGGGCACCGAGCACTGTATCCAGGTGAGAGAGGTTTTTTGCTAGCAGTTCTCCACTTTTGTTGATCAGTTCACAAAGCTGAGTCATTTGCCCTGGAACAAGAAAAAGGGGCTGTTACATTTCAGCTCAATGAAAGTAAATAAAGCAAAGGCTCCCTGTCGCACCTTTATGTACCCCTGAGTTTGCACCAAGTGCAAGGACATAGGAGGCTCCCTTGCACCAAGTCAGACCTTTGGCTCACCTTGGTCAGTACTTCTGACACTGACTGGCAGCATCTCTCCAAGATTTCAGAGAGAAGCCCTGCCCAGTCCTACCTGGGGAAGTCAGGGACCTTCTGCATGAAAAGCATGTGCCATGGAAATATGATCAGCATCATTATCTTGGGCAACGAGTGAGAAGACAATGCTTCACATATATCCTTTCTCCTCTGTGAGCTATACTAGAGAGGAAGGACACACCTATCTTTGAAGCACTGCTGTTACGGTCTAGGAAGAAATGAAAAAAGGGGCAGAGAAGAGAAGGGCGTGTGTGTGCTGCAAATGAACCTTAGCTATATTTTGAGCTGAACCTGTTTGCACTGATTGGCTCTGCATAAGTACTTTCGGAGTGGTGAAAAGCCTCTTACGGAAGAAGAGAGATACGTTCCAACTCTACAATTCTATGATGGAATACAATGGAATAATGGAAGGCAATGGGTGCCTTCTACAGAGAGAGAGAGGTGTTTTAACAGGTGCTGCAGATAAAACTGATCGCCTCCTTTGCTATTATTCTGCAGACACCATGTGAACCCCTCCACCACTGCCCACAGCCAAAACTAAATTAGTGCCCCTCCTACTCAACACCATCGACAACAACCCATCACACCATACAGAACTTGAGCTCAGAGCTCTGGGTGAGAAAGTGCAAGAGAATGGTGTGCTACAGTCCATCTCCCCACCTCCAGTTCACATGATGCTTGAGAATCCACTGTCATAAGGTGTGGCAATCACCACTAGCTGGAAGGCAGCTTGGGAAACAAGGATTAGAGTCCAGTGGTTCACAGCCTTGGGTCCCCAGATGTTTTTGGCCTACAACTCCCATGATCCCTTGCTCACAGGACCAGTGGTCAGGGATGATGGGAGTTGTAGGCCAAAAACATCTGGGGACCCAAGGTTGAGAAAGGCTGGATTAGACGAATCCACAGAGATGTGGAGGTTCATCAATCGCTACTGGCTACAACAGCTGAAGGGAGCATCCATGTTCAGAAATTGTCTACCACAGAATATCAGAAGAGAGCTGTGGTTGGGCGCTGTGGGAAAGAGGTCAATCAAACTGGCCTGTTCTTACATCCAGCCATTTCCATGAAGGGTCTGTTGCTAACGAACTTCGGCAAACTGTATTTTTAAATTGTCCAGCAAGTTGGAAGCACCCAAAGTTAAGCACAGGATGAGAATGCAACAGGGACAGCCAACCTGGTGCCTTCCAGATGTTGTGCTGGCTGGGACTGATGGGGTTTGGAGTCCAACAAGATCTGGAGAGCATCATATTAGCTATCCCTAGTCTCCAAGCTTTAAATAAGCAAGAACATCAGTTTGTGGGAGTTTAAGTAGATTCTAATATAATATGAATTATGCTTCACTTTTGTAGAGGGTTTAATTTTCAGATTAAAACAGCTGGAATGTGAGGTAAGAGAGTGAAAATCCCGAGACACATGAAATACCATGGACAGCACCACAGCTGAAATCCTAGGACAGCTATTGAAAAAATAGTACAAGTCTTTCCTCAAACCTTAGATGAAGCATTTCTATAGAGCAGGCTGGGCAAATGCAGATTTAGATTTAGCATTAGATATCTGCGTGATGTGCAGCAGCCCAGCAAGGGTTTCTGACTGCCAGCCATTTTAACAATGAGAACAAGTGAAAGCCTCTGTCACTGGCTTCTGAAATGAAGGAAAGTTGAAATGGGGGATGAGAAGGGGATTTTTATGTGACAAAGTTGACAGCTGGTAACAAAAACAAATTATTGGGGTATGCATGTATTCAAGTGGAGCTCTGTGCACTCAGCTACAGTACTATGCAAAAATCTGGCTCTAGTTAGTGGATCTCAGGGATCTAGGGGGGGAAATAGATCCCTCAAGCCTGACATTTGCCCCTCCACAATGCAAAAAAAATGTACTGTACAGTGTTGTTTATTTATTTAAATGAAGAAACTATGAATCCTCCAAGAAAACTGAGCTTTAAAAAAAAAGGCATGCAAATGCTTTCACACCTGGATTCCTAGGAGTACGAAAAATTTTTACAGCTCTGAGCTCATCTATTGTAGGTACACAAAGCTGTGCTCCAAATTCAAAACTAATGACCACAAATACGAAATATTACTTTGGCTCAGTCAAAAGTGACTAGGAGCAAAATTAGAAAGCATCAGTGCTAGTTATTTTTTAAAGAACATAAGACAACCTTAAAGCTTCCCTTTGCTCCAATTAACAGTCCCAAACAAGATATATGTTACTGCATGCAGAATCTTTAAGTGGCAGCTGGCGTGGGGTTGGGGGTCCTGCAAGACATATAGCTGTGCTAAAGATTAAGAAACGCACATTAGGTTCTACAGAACACTGTGAAGCTATTCTAATGCTTTCAACCACATGCTAAGTCATGAATTCAAACAGGTCTGACCCCCCCCCCCCGGTCCATAACCATCTCTTCACTAGGATGCATATTTCAGAGACTGGCAAGATTTTTAAAAATTATGTGCATGCAAAGTATAATCTGAGTTTAAACAATATTGGGGAGATTAAGCTGAACTCCTACAGTATGCATAAGACACTCAGTGTTTCTCATTCACACATAAGCTTTACCAGTTAGATCAACACTACAAAGCCCTCATCAGCAGAACACAAGAGTCACATGCACAAGATGCCCCATAACCTCTGAATGCAAGGTTTGGGTACGAATCAGAGAACAGAATGGCAGCATAAATGCTATCTTTTTTGTAAGACATATACTCCTTCCTCTCTGAAAGATGAACCATTATTTAGACTAGTGGTGGCTAATTTCTGGCATTCCAAATGCTTCTGGCTACAATTCCCACCATCCCTGACCACTGGGCATGCTGGGAAGGGGCTGGTGTGAGTTGAGATTCCACCAACATCTGGAGGCCTGCAGGTTCCCTGCTCTGCACTGCTGTTTAAAAACAACCACACCAGTAAAACATAGCACACAAAACGTTTGAAAGACGTGCTCCCCAACACTTCTCACCCCTCCTCATTGTCCTCCCCAACATGCTGGCACCCCTTTTCCAATTGCCACAAAGTTCAATGCGAAGTGTCAGGCTGTGTCTGAAAAGAACTTGCAAGATTATTCACTTCTGTTCCCTGATTAACCCTGAAAATCCCCTGTAGACATTGAGCCTTTGTTCCTATGCATTTAGCACTGCCCATCTTATCTCTGGAAAACCCTGGCTTAACAAATGCTGAGCAGATGCAGCAATATGTTTTGAAGAGTGAGCAAGAACAGAGCTGTGCTGAGTTAGGGCTGGCTTGTTTTGGTAGCATCTATTCCCTTCCTTCCTTCATTTTATTTGTACGCTGCTTTGCTACAAAAAATATGCTCAAAGTGGCTTAACAACACAGAAAACAGGAATACATTTCAAACAAACTATACAAAAATAATTTTATAATAACATAGCAAAACAACAGCAGTAAAAAAAAAAGATAGTGAAAATAGCAAGGAAGTGTCACAGTTTCACCTTAGTGCTAGAAACTTCCTTTTCTGCAGACATAAACCTTCAAATAAAACTTAAAGGATCTCCTTGTGCTGGTAGGGTTTTCCTAATGTTCTGTCAACATGGCATAACTCTGGCAAGATGGCCATTCACGTCTTGACCCCATTCATTCTTCCCCTTGTGCCTTGAAGCCTTGCTCTGAATGGGTAGATGGGTCCATCTCTCCCCTCCCCCCAACAACTTCAAAGCCTTCCTCAAAAGCCATCACCTCAAGGCTTGTGGCTCAAAATCAAACCTAAGGATTAGTAACTACTCGCACTTGCTACCCTCATCTCTCTAAGATTCCTTTTCTACTGTCAAAAAGTAGACTAAACTCCTTGTTGGTTAGGAATCTGTCCTTTTTAATGTTATTCTTCAAAGCCCCAATAACAATGGTAGTTATTTATTTGAATCCATTTATTGACACCCCACTCCCCCTCCCCCCCGGCAGGGACTCAAGGTGAAAATATGAATAGCTAAAAACATAGGGAAAAAACAATAAGTAGTAGTAGTAGTAGTAGTAGTAGTAATTACTGTTAGTAGTAATAGTAGTAGCTGTCACAGCCACCTGGTGCAAGGCACTAAAAGGAAACTTTTCCATGTTTAGGGAAGCTTTTAATGTTTAACAGACTATTGTATTTTAATATTTTGTTGGAAGCCACCCAGAGTGGCTGGGGAAACACAGCCAGGTTGGCGGGGTATAAATGATAAATTATTATTATTACTATTATTATTTGCCTAGTTTTAGCATTTATATCCCTCTTAACCTTCAAAGAGCTCAGGGCTGCACACATTATCACAGTCTTGTATTTAGCATTAGCTTGATAACCATATCCAAAAAGGAATTCCATGCAGATGAATAAGGTGGTTGATGAAGGAAGGATGCAGGGTTCCACTGCTCTTCTGCACCTAAGATATACACCAAGCACCCGGCACAGAAACACAGCAGGCTGCTGCAGAACAGACAGTGCACTACATCCTTTTTCAGTGATTCCAGCAACCTGGTAGAAATGTTTTGCACACAGTAACATTGGTAGGCTTGTTTCAAGGCTGCATTATCATCATGAGGCTTATTGACGCAGTAGCATCATAAGAGCGCAACATCAAGCAGATTGGAGCAAAGGCGCATCTAGCCCAGCATCCCACAGCGGCCAGCAACACAGGTTGGCGAGCCTCCGCAAAACCCACAAGCAGGACATGAGAACAACATAAGAACATAAGGCGAACCGGGTGGATCAGGCCAATGGCCCATCTAGTCCAGCATCTTGTTCTCACAGTGGCTGACCTGATGTCCAAGGGCAGCCTGCAAGATGGACATGAATGCAATAGCACTCTCCCGAGCTGCAATTCTCAGCAACTGGTATTCGGAAGTATGACATGTGACAGTGGTGGAACAACACAGCCATTGTGGCTAGTAGCCACTGATAGCCTTGTCCTCAATGAATGTGTTTCATCCTCTTTTAAAGTCATCCAAGTTGTGGGCCATCACTGCCTCCTGCGGAAGCAAATTCCAGTTTAGCTGCACTGTGTGAAGGAGGACCTTTATCCGTCCTGAATCTTCCAACATTCAGCTTCGTTAGATGTTCTTTTTTTTTTAACATACATTTTATTAATCTAGATGTTCACAAGTTCTAGCATTGAGTGAAGGAGAAAAACCTCTCTCTTCCCGCTTTCTTGATAAACTACTATGTCACCTCTTTGATCTGAACTAGAAAGTCCCAAATGCTGCAACCTTTTCTCATAGGAGAGTCGGTGGCCACCACAGCCTCCTGCGGGAACCGATTTCCATAGTTTTAACTAAGTGCTGCGTAAGAAGTCCTTGCTTTTATCTGTTGTGAGGAACAATGGAGGGAGTTGGGTGTGTTTAGCCTGGGTAAGAGGAGACTGAGAGGAGATATGAAAGGCAGCTTCCAATATCTAAAGGACCGGGACATGGAAGATAATAATAATAATTTATTATTTGTACCCCGCCCATCTGGCTGGGTTTCCCCAGCCACTCTAGGTGGCTTCCAACAAAGATTAAAAATACATTAAAATGTCACACATTAAAAATTTCCCTGAACAGAGCTACCTTCAGGTGTCTTCTAAATGTCAGGTAGTTGTTTATCTCTTTGACATCTGATGGGAGGGCGTTCGACAGGGCGGGCGCCACTACCGAGAAGGCCCTCTGCCTGGTTCCCTGTAACTTGGCTTCTTGCAGCGAGGGAACTGCCAGAAGGCCCTCGGAGCTGGACCTCAGTGTCTGGGCAGAACGATGGGGGTGGAGACCCTCCTTCAGGTCTACTGGGCCGAGGCCATTTAGGGCTTTAAAGGTCAACACAAACATTTTGAATTGTGCTCGGAAACGTACTGGGAGCCAATGTAGGTCTTTCAAGACTGGTGTTATGTGGTCTTGGCGGCCACATAACAAGATGGAGCAAGCTTGTTTTCTCTTGCTCCAGAGCATAGGACCTGAACGAGTTGCTTCAAGATACAAGAAAGGTGATTCCGCCTAAACATCAGAAAGAACATTCTGACACTAAGAGCTGTTTGGAAGTGGAACAGACTCCTGCGAGAGGTGGTGGGCCCTTCTTCCTTGGGGGTTTTTAAACAGAGGCTGGATGGCCATCTGTCATGGAAGCTTTTGTTGAGATTACTGCATTGCAGGGGGTTGGACTGGATGACCCTCAGGGTCCCTCCCAACTCTGCATTTCTATAATTCCACCATTCACCAATGTTGGAAGATTTATGTCGGATAAAGATCGTCAAGCAGCGTATAGTTGAACTGTAACTCTCCCACATTGGCTATGATGACCACCAACCTGCATGGCTTTGAAAGACAAATACCTGTATACAAATTCACGGAGGACAAGGCTACTCGTCTTGGTGGCTAATCTTTGCCTCCACAGTTGGAGGCAGCAATGCTTCTGAATATCCGTTGCTGGAAAATGCTCTTGTGCTCTGGTCCTGCGTGTTGGTTTCCCCGCAGGCAAATGTTCATTGACTGTGAAAGTAAGATGCGGGGCGAGATGGGCCACTGGCCTGATCCACAAGGGCTCTTCTCATCTTCTTAGGCTCACTGGTTGTCCACTAGTTCCAGCGCTAACCATCCCTAAACCTCTTCCCCCACCGCCTTTACAACATGCGTCGGATCTGTACCCCCCCCAAAAAAAATCCCTTGCGCGAGGCAAACGTTAAAGGGGTTAATCCAAAAACGCCCCGCGGGGGACACGCGAAAAGGGGGAGCCGCGCCTGTTTCCCTCCCGAGATGGCAGCCAGGGGGCTTCTTCCCCCGACACCCACCACCACCCAGGGGCGGGATTCGAACCCATGTCCCCCTCCACGGCCACCGCCGCCTCCTCCTCCCACCAGGCCGCTTTCGCTCTGGCCATTCACGTGCGCGGCTGGAGGCCGAGGAGAGCCGGAGCCGCCCGGCGGGTCCCTCCGCTTGACACCCCGCCAGCCACCCGGCCTCGCCCCCTCAGCCCGGGTCCCCGGCGGTCACCTTGGGCCGAGAGCTGCCTGACGCTGTTGACGAACTGCTCCAAGGCGGACGCCATCTTGGCGGCTCGCGGGAGGCCGCGGCGGGAGAGCAGCGAGGCGGGGGAGACGGAGCGGGCCCCGCGCCGGGGAAGGAGGGGGAGGGGGCGGGAGGAGGAGAGGAAGTCGCCTCTTCTCCCTCCTGAGGCAGCGTCTCCGCCCGCGCAGGGCCAATCAGACGCCGCTTCGGAGGGCCGCGGGGGCGGAGCTCCCCGGGCGTCATTGCCGGCGCCGGCGCGCGCGCGCGGGCCTAAGCAAGGGCGTTGCCATGGGAACCGCCGCTCCAGGCCCTCAACCCGGAAGCGGCCTTCCCCGGTGTAAACAGAGGCAGCCGCCAACTGTCACTCGCGCTGTCGACTCGGTAGCTGCGCGTTTTGGACCGGGGAAGGGTGGCTTCTTTAGCCTGGCGCCGCAACCCGCCTTGTCTGCTTTTAAATTGTCATCATAGAGAAGCACCCAGCCCGTAGTAAACTGCCTTATCTCCCTCCCAGATAAGACATTTAGGTGGCCCCAATGCCCTTTGCAGCTTTCTACCCTGTCTGGCAGACAAAAACATAGTAAGAGTGCAGCGACAACCCAGTCTGGTTGCTAAGGGTCAGAGTGACGTCAGACGCGGTGTGATGTCACACAGAGTACTTCACGCCACTCAGAAGCACATTTCATCTTCCGGTTATGGCTGCTTATCACTTCCCTGCTTATCACTTCACTATCACATCATCGTATCATCATCATTGTTTTGTTGCTGTTTGGGGGAGTGTAGCACAGTTGCATAAGCAAAAAGAACAAAAGATCCTTGTGGTACTTTAAAAGATCAACACATTTTAATTTATTTATTTAGGTGCATTTGTACCCTACTCTTGGGCCAAAGAAAGCACAGCCAATTGCATAAAATCAGTTATAAACAAGACAGTCCCTGCCTGCAGCCTTACGATCTAAAAAAAATTCCACATTACAAAAGGGAAAATGGATAGGGAGGAAAGAGGAAGAAAGCAAACTCGGGCAACCTTTATTAAATAGTAGTTCTCATAATGACTGACTTGCAGAGAAACAGCTCAGGGGCAGGAGGTGCCTAATGGCATAAATTTCCATGGACTGGAGAATCCATCAGATATTTTAGATCAGGCTTCCTCAACCTCGGCCCTCCGGATGTTTTGAGACTACAATTCCCATCATCCCTGACCACTGGTCCTGCTAGCTAGGGATCATGATGAGAGTTGTAGGCCAAAAACATCTGGAGGGCCGAGGTTGAGGAAGCCTGCTTTAGATAAAGCAGACTCAAATCCACAAAGAGTACACAGAGTTCCTGTTTTCTGCTGAGCATGGCACTTTTGTGTGCCAACTTTCTACTGAGGATTCTAATTTCCTTGCCAATAGGGCAGTAATTATTTGGGAGACACAAAGCAACCCACCTCAGCTCAGAACCAGCTCTTTCAATGCTGCTTCTGGAACCTTCTAAAAATGACATTTGTTTTTGAGAAATGCATTTCAGGCGCCAATGTTAAGAGATCCCATTTGAGAGAGAGAAATCAGTTGTTGTGCTGTGAGCAGCACGATACCAGGAAATCCTAAGAAGAGATGAGCTCATCCTTCACTTGATATTCCCAGTGTGGACATCAGGGGCCGATGTATATCCAGTCTGTACCTAATAATGGAACAGCACTTCAGGGTGGTTTTTTTTGGCAAAGCTGTATCTCTTTTGCCAGTGACCTCTTCTCACCATCATCTCATGTCTTATGCTCCAGAAAACCATATATGTTCATATGGCGAATAGCTGTTCTGAGTAAACAAAAATAGTGTATTGTAACCCACATATTATAAACAGGTGATGTAAATGAGGCCTACTTCAATCTGCAGTCTGTTATGCTTCCAGAAACGTTGAGGAGGAAATGGGATTCGCTCAAGAAGCAGTAAGGATCGAGTTCTGGGCTACAGTACAGAATAAGTGTGATAATTATGATCTAGATGTTTTGTGAAAAAATGGCTTTCACCAGTGCTTTCATCTTTCTTGAAAAAGAGGTGCTGGTGTAGGAGGGCAAAGCCTCATAAGGCTACACTGGAACTCACCATGAAAGCTTCCCTTGTTCTCTTATACAGTGGTACCTCGGGTTAAGAACTTAATTTGTTCTGGAGGTCTGTTCTTAACCTGAAACTGTTCTTAACCTGAAGCACCACTTTAGCTAATGGGGCCTCCTGCTGCCGCTGTGCCGCCGCTGCACGATTTCTGTTCTCATCCTGAAGCAAAGTTCTTAACCCGAGGTAATATTTCTGGGTTAGCGGAGTCTGTAACCTGAAGCGTATGTAACCTGAAGCGTATGTAACCCAAGGTACCACTGTAACGGCAATGGCATCCACCTAAGAGGTATCGGAACTGAATTCCAGTAAGTTCCTGCTGAAAAATACAGTAACCCCTGGCTTTCACTACTACTACTACTACTACTACTACTACTACTACTATTTTAAAGATATGGCTAGTTCTGCCTGTAGTTCCTATTGCACAATAAAATACGGCAGTCTCTGCAAAGTATAACAATAACAAAAGATTGTTTTATGCTTCCAGGAGTTTCCACTGAGTTTCCACAAAGCTGGAGCAGGAGCAACCAAGGAATATGAGCACCTTTAGTTAGGTTGCTTGGACTTTCACCCTGGGACCTTAGGGTGATTAATAATTTTTAAATAATAATAAGGGCTTTTTTTCACCCAGAGCTCACAGGAGTTCAGCTCCGACACCTCAATGTTGGAACTGCTTGTGCGCTCATCAACCTTTGCTTGAAAGGCATTCTGCACACGCTCAGAGGCCCACTTCTTCTAATTGTATACACCATGTTGAACCTTGGCGTCAGAACCTGATTATTCCAGAGCTGAACCTGCCCGTAGTCCTCATGCACCCTGAAAGCCCCGCTGAACAAAACGAAACTTCCTTCCACGTAAACACACGCAGGATCACATGCCCTCCAAATGTCCCTACTTTCTGCGGACAGTCCCAGATTTACAGAAGCCATCCCAGTTTCTGATTTGATCCCAGAATGTCCCACTTTTCCTTAGGACGTCCCTATTTTCATCGGAGTGATGTTGGAGGGGATGGAGTTATGCAACTCCTGAGCCAAGGAGATAAGTAGCTATAAAGTACTACCTTTAGAAGACATCTGAAGACAGCCCTGTATAGGGAAGTTTTAAAATGTTTATTGCTTTATTATGTTTTATTCATGCTGGAAGCCACCCAGAGTGGCTGGGGCAACCCAGTCAGATGGGTGGGATACTAATACTAATACTACAGAATGGATGTCCCTATTTTCATTGGATAAATGTTGGAGGGTATGGGATCAGGCTGCGCTGCGCAGCTGACCTTGCTCGGCTGTCTTTTTTGCAGTGGGCAAAGCGGCCCAATTGAGGAGGTGTTTCCAACCCCTGGTTTACTTCCCGCGCAAGGAGGGAGGCGATGGGACAAGGCCAGATTTAGGTTTGATGAGGCCCTAAGCTACTGAAGGTAATGGGGCCCTTTATATGTCCAGCTGTCCTTTGTCAACAACAAATTGTCACTGTTTTTTGTGTTAAATATGCTCTATGGTAATTTATGGACCTAATTGGTATCTCAAGCCATTTGCACATAACAAAACATGTATTTTATCAAAGTAATTGTTGAACTGAAATACAATTAAGAAGTATATTAATAGTGAAATACAATTAAGAAGAAGTATATTTTGGGGGGCCCCCAAGAGAGGGGGGGCCCTAAGCTATAGCTTGTTTAGCTTATACGTAAATCCGGCACTGCTGGGGAGAGACCCCGGAGGGGGGGAAACACAGGCGATCCCATGCGAGGAGCTGGTGGCGCGCGCTTCCCGGCCGGCGCTGGAAACATGCCGCTGCTGCGAGGCGGCGCTTGGAGCTGCCGGGAGCGCAAGCACCAACCCCCTCCCCACCCGCAGCTCCTCCCGCGGGCGATGGGAAGGAGAACCGGAGCACTGCCGGGTTGGGCTGCTCTGCCGGCGCCTCGGGAGGAGGGCGAGAGAGCGGCTCCCGCGGCTCCGCTGCAACCCAGAGGCGCGCGCACCGGAGCGCCAAGCCGCGCCCGGCCACCCCCAGCGCTGCGGAAGCACCTCGAGGACGCGGCGGCGCCCCACGAAGCGCCCTTGTCCGTCGCAAAGGGGAAGAGGAGAAGGAAGCCCGTGCGGATCTTGCGCGGGACGAGCGTAACGCACCCGGACCCGCGCCCACCTTCGTTTCCGAAGCGCCACCCTGCCGCTGCTTTTGCGCAGCCGGCCCGGGAGCCCTCGCCTCGCCTCGCCGCCCTCTCCATCTCCTCTCCCGGGGCTCCTCTTTGGCTGCAAATCGGGGCGAGGAAGCAAGAAGGGAGCGGCAGGACTCCGTGCTGCAGCGGCAATAATTGCACCAATAATAGCAATTATCTGCGGGTTTGGCGGACCTCGTGGGGTCCCCAAATCCGTGCGCCGCAGAGAGACAGAAAACCTGGCGTGATGCAGCAGTTGCAGAAAAGGAGGCTGGGGATTTGGGAGCACAGCGACGAGGAAACCGTGACCCGGCGCCCTTCCCCGGTTTTTTAAGAGAGAGATCCCGCCCTTCTCCATGCTAACCATGAGCAGCTTCTTCTTGCACCCGCGGCCAGCGCTGCGCGGCTGCTGCGCTCCTTTCCTGGCCACGGGCGCCGGCTGTTTTGCGCACTGCAGCAGACGCAGCGCCTCCTCGCGCTGCGCCCCCGGCCGCCGCCGGCGCCTGCGGGTCTTGGTGGACATGGACGGGGTGCTGGCGGATTTCGAGGGGGGCTTCCTGAAGAAGTTCAGAGCCAAGTATCCGGAGAAGCCCTACATCTCCTTGGAGGACCGCAGGGGGTTCTGGGTCTCGGAGCAGTATGGGCAGCTGGAATCGGAGCTGAGTGTGAGTCAGTGGCCTTGTTGTTGTTGTTGTTGTTGTTGTTGTTGTTGTTGTTGTTGTCATCAGCATAATGTCAGTAAAGGCAGCTTGCAGATTACAAGAGGACAGATCTCTGCCCCGAGGGGCTTACCATATATAACTAGACGCAAGGAACGGAAAGGGAATTGCAGCTGGAGTAAAATGAAGGAAATTAGCATCAACACTAGCCATGGTGCCTTGCAAAGTACAAAAATACAAATCTCCACCCCAAGGGGCTTGCAGTATATAATTAAACAGAAGGGAGACCAGAGAGAAGCAGAAAGGGAAATGCAGCTGGAACAAAACAAATGAAATTTGATGTTGTTGTTTGTTGGATTTGTTATCTACCATTCACAGTAAGGTTCCAGGTCAGGTTACCACTATTTTATATTGAAACAAATTACAGTGGTACCTCAGGTTACAGACGCTTCAGGTTACAGACTCCGCTAACCCAGAACTAGTACCTCGCATTAAGAACTTTGCTTCAGGATGAGAACAGAAATCGGGCAGCGGGAGGCCCCATTAGCTAAAGTGGTACCTCAGGTTAAGAACAGTTTCAGGAACGAATTAAGTTCTTAACCAGAAGTACCACTGTATAGTGGTAGGAATACTGTTGTGGTTTTGAAACTTATTAATCGCTTGTTACCTAAAAGGTCTCCGAGCAACTTACATGTAAAACATACCGGGGTAATGCCATTAAAAACATGATGCCTTAAGGAGGAGGGAGGAAGAGACACAAAACATTAACATTTTGTACAACATTTCCAAAAAGAAAAGAAAAAAGGATGGATCCTGAAAATATCGCTATGTACACATTACAGGCTTACCACACAGCTAGGTTGTTCTTTTTCTCAGTTTGGATTGAAGCTGGTTTGCTGGGGAAATTCATCAAAACACAGTATTTCACAAATAAATGACAGGATGGGTACGGATTGTGGCCAAGTCGTGTGCACTGGCAGCTCACTGGGTACAGAATAGCCTGGAATGTGTACAGATATTTATCTCGTGTGTCAAAGCCTAGGTTAGGTCAAGTGTGTCTTCAGCACACCAAGGAAACGATACAATGAAGGTGCCAGACACATCTCTGTGGACAGGGAATTCCACATCCCAAAAGCTGCCACAAAGCACATGCCCTCTTCTGGGCCGCTGCTGCCATCCTGAGTTTCTACAGGCGATGGATAGAACTACCAAGATCCTAATACCCAGGAGAGTCTGTGGGGAAGGAGGCCACCTTGAGATATTTGGGGCCCAAGTCATTTAGGGCTTTGAACCCTAAAATGTGAGGCGGTTTTAGTGTAGTGTGACTGGTTTGACAGCGCTGTGTGCCAGCACTGCAACAATGATGTGTGAGAGGCGGGGGGGGGGGGGCGCCAAATTTTAGTGCCACACAGAGCACTGCTGAAATTTGAGAATCCAAAGTCTGCCACTGGCTCCTTGAACTGGGCCTGAAAACCAACTTGAACACAGTTTTGAAACAGGGGTTATATGAATAGGAACCCCAGGCAGAAATCTGGCTGTTGCATTTTGGACCAGTTGAAATTTCGAAGTCTTCTTCGAAATAGAAATAAATAAATACCCATTTGTTTACAGTAGTAGATAATAACAAGCACTTTTAAATAGGCAAAGTCACCTCCAAGGCTTTTTTATTATTATTAATGCTTAGAACAGCCCTGTAAGATAGGCTACTGTTATCCACCTGTTGCATAGAGTGGAAATGAGGCTGGCAGGTAAGTAAGTGCCTTGGAATTGAACCCAAGTTTCAGGCCTGTTCTCCATCTACTGCACAATCCCGTCTCTGTGTTTTTATTAATGACAAAAGTCCGAGCGTGTTCAAAGTCCACAAGGTTGCAAACTCCATCGAGTAGCTAACTCTGACCTGGGCCTGGGCAGAGCGATTCTATTCCCTCTTGCTGCTATTGGTTTAACTGATCGGATAAGCGGGGAGGACTGGGCAGGCTGGCGAGGGGGTAAACTACAACCCCCAGAATTCTTTGAGGAAAGTCAGGTGTTGAAAATGTGCTCCGTATGCAGCCCTTATTCAAATGTTGCTGCTCAAGCTGTTCTCGTGGATTCTGTTGTGCAGGAGAGCAGCCAAGAGGGCAGCAGACTTAACAGGCTAATGTTCTCCCCTCCCCAACCTTCTCGCTCCAAACCTCTTTGCAGGAAAAGGCAATTGGCATTTGGGAGTCAAAGAACTTCTTCCTGGAACTGGATCCGCTCCCAGGGGCTGTGGAAGCCGTCAAGCAGATGGCCGAGTTAAAAGAGTGAGTATGTTTGGCGGAATTTGCAAGGGAGAAGCTTCCCCACTGCAGGCACACCCCTGCTCTTCCACCAGCCGGGCTTCTTCCTTTCTTTTCATTACAGTCATACCTTGGGTTGAAGTAGCTTCAAGTTAAGTATTTTTGGGTTGCTGAAGCCCCGCGATGTGCCCGTCACGATGCCCATGGCGCAGCCCAGACCCGTCACTCGCCCGCCGGCCTCTCCGTCCATGGCCGTGCCATGGACGTTTACCTCAGCTGTGGGCAGCACAGCTTCAGACTGGCTGCAGGAACTTCCTGCAGCCAATCTGAAGCTGCGCCAGTGTCGCCTCCTGCCCAGATCCGTCCACAGCTTCGGGTTGGCTACAGGAGCTTCCTGCAGCCAATCTGAAGCTGCGCCAGCATCGCTGCCCTCCCAGAAGCCGTGCCAGCATTGCGAAAGTCAGTCCCCGCACGGCGAGGCGTCCGCAGTGTGTGGGGACTGACCAGGCGGGCGGCAGGGTCCGCGGACCGGATTTATGAGCCTGGGGGGCCTCATCAGGCCTCTGGGCCTTACTTTTCCGACCCCTGGTCTAAGTGGTCCGACTCCATCTGAGGCAGCCTTTGCTTATATCGATGCAGAGCACACCTGAGATATTATTTTTTTTGCAGGAAGGCCAGAATCCATACAGGATGAATAAATGCCAATGTGGATTATTTTTTCTTCTTCTCCACTGTCTCTTTCCTTCCCTCCTTCACCTTCTCTCTTTTCTGTCATGGTAGGACCGATGTGTTCATATGCACCAGTCCCATCAAGAAGTATCGGTATTGCCCATACGAAAAGGTAACGGGTATATTATTTTTATTACTATTTCTTCATTTAGACATTTCGTAGCCAGCCTTTCAATTGAAAGGATTCCCAGAGCAGAGGACAGTGACGAAATTCAGAATCTTTCCGACGGGAACACCCTCCTACATGCAGTCTGGAGAGGCAGGAACTAAGCCGTGTGTTTTGACCGCCTTCTGAAAACCCATCTGTTTAGCCAGGCTTTCCCTGGCTGGAAATTGCCAATACATTTCCTGGGTTTTCCTGGCATTAAATATTCATTAAAACTAGTGGTAAAAGCAGACTTTGAAAAACAGGAGGCATAAGAGAATGATCAAAATATAGGCAACATCAACAGTTTTAAAAACAACAATTAATTTTATGTCTGGAGGTGCTCACCGGAACAAAAAACGGTTTCTAGCCGGTGTCAAAAACAACACAATGAAGACCCCTGCCTAATATTAACCACTGTAATTTTATAGTACGTTTTATATAAACTGCTTAGAGAGGGTCCGTATTTTAAGCGGTATATAATTATTGCTGAGAAGTAAGTGAAATTAAGAATGAAACTAAAGTGATCAAATTTGCAGTGAAACTCCGGGGAGACAGGAGGGGGCCAGGAGAGGGCATTAAAGTGAAGAATAAAGCAGAACTCTCCACAAAAAGACTGATATGAAAAGCCAATTTAAAGGCACAGACTCCTGGATCAGCCTCAAAGCAGTGGGGAGCTGGTTCCATAATTGCACCAAGTGCAAGACTGCAGTCAAATTTTGTGCAGACACCCAGCCCATCTGGAGTCTTCCAAGTCTTGGCTGAAAATTAAGCTCCACTTCCCTCTCCCTGCTTCCCCATAATGGGGTTTATTTTGGGGTTTTTTTTGTCATTGTGGTTTGCTGGTCATGCTGGTGCCAGTTCCATCCTCCTCACACCCTCTGCCCACAAACTCTTTTCTTCCACTGTTTCCTTTTCCACTTTCCAGTACGCCTGGGTGGAGAAGCACTTGGGCCAAGAGTTTCTGGAGCAGATCGTCCTCACCCGAGATAAGACGGTGGTCTCTGGCGACCTGCTGATCGACGACAGGCCTGATATAATAGGTGAAGGGGTTGTCCCAAGGGAAAGGGCATCAGGGGCTGGTGGGTGGGTGGAAGTGCAAGGCAGTGAAGGCCCCAACAGCCCTTCAACATTGGCACATACTGTGCTTATTTATTTGAATTTGTATACCAGAGCTTGGACAACAGTAGTTAGGCTATCCCTGTCCAGATAAGGGCACAGCTGGACGACCAGCCCAAGCTGATGGAAGGCACTCTGTGCCACCGAGGCCACCTGAGCCTCAAGCAACAGCAATGGACCCAGAGGTCTCCCCAAGCTACGTACCCACTCCTTCAGAGGGAGTGTAACTCCACCAAGAGCAGGCAACCTCCCATCCATCCGGTCTAGGGAACCACCCACTAACAGTGTCTCAGCCTTATCTGGATTGAGCTTCAGTTTGTATCTTCCTATAGACATAAAAAGTAAGGCTGTCATCACGCAACTCCCATTTTAGGACTGCATCACAATCCTGGATTCGCATGAAGTCAGGGCAAGGGTGGAGGGGGAGTGAAAGAGAAGCAGGATTTCAAATGATGGTTTTAAGCAACAGCAGGAGTTTAAATGGAGCAGGGATGGAGGGGCACAGAGGAGCTCAGAGGTTATTGGCAGGGCAGGGACGTGAAGGAGCTGTGAGAATATCAGTTTTTTGCTTTTAGGCAATTCTTCTGTTTGTCACAACAAACATAATCCAGCCACTCCTGAGGCTACAGCCACTTACCTGGGATTAAGCCCCATTAAACGCAATGGGACTTACATCCAAGTAGGCATGTTTAGATCACATTGCTCCCAGCTGCAGGTATCTGTTGGCTAGTACACTATATGGCTCCCTGCCAGTTGCTACCGTAGTAAATAAGCAAAGTCGCTTACTACAGACTTTGGGGTTTACAGGCATATAGCACACACAGGGCTATGTCTACCCTGCAGAAATTCAAAATTCTGCTTCGAGGACAGAAACAAAACCTGAAACCTATACAAGCCCTGCAGACTGGAGCGCAGACCTCTGTTAGTGGTTTTTGAGACTTCGCCAGCCAATCTTTACACCCATGAGGGCTATAAACTTCTCTTCCCTTTATGTTCCCCACTATTAGATTCCATAGAGCAGTGAGGTGACAGATTTTTTTCAAAAAAACCAAAACCCACAGACAGGCATTATTCAGTTTAAAAAGGTCCTGAGTTGCCTTCTTTGCCTTCCAGGAGCTGAGAAGAGTCCGAGCTGGGAGCACGTCCTCTTCACGGCCTGCCACAACAAGCACCTCCAGCTGCCTCCTCTTCGTCGGAGGCTGCACTCGTGGACCGACGACTGGAAGGCCATCTTGGATAGCAAGCGGGCATTGTAGAGCTTGTTGGGAGAGTCTCCTCGACGTGCCCGGCGAGGGGCCAGAATCCGTGGTGCAGGCCCGAAAACCACATCTTGGCCCCGTGGGGAGAAGCAGGAAAAAACATGTCTTTGGTTTCAGCTATGGAGCCAGAGACGAGGGCAGGCTTCCCAAGAAAAAGGAGCTTGGCCATGCTGCTAGAGCCATCACAAAGCTGAGCCACCAAAGGACCTTTGACAAGCACCCTTCCTGGGTCTGGCTTGGCCTAGTCCAAAGGACGTCTTATCCCAAAGGAAGGCCCAGCCAGGGGTGTTCACCACCCACCAAGCACTGTTTAGATTTATATCTGGTTTCCGTAAAGATGGCCGCCATCTTCAGCGTCCTCTCCCAATCTTGGACATGCCTCCATTTCCAGGACTGAAATTTTGTCTGCTTCGGGAGGACGTTGAAATGAGCTGAGGGGCAGGCCGGTCTGGGAGCCACTTCAAAATCCAAAATGTGTGTGTCTGTGAACTGTGGTAGCTCATTTGCCAGGGGAAATGCCTGGGCTGGGGAACCAGTCACCGGTCCAAACATTGTTGGACTCCAGTTCCCATCATCCTTGGTCGTGCTAGCTGGGGATGATGAGAGTTGGAGTCCGTCAACATCTGGAGGGCCACAGTTTCCCTACCCTTACTCCCAGAAACATCCTCTCTGTCATAGCGTTTGATGGTTCAAAATGGCGGCTGGTCGACAAACCCAGGTTTCTGAGCTGAGACCTGGTTCCAGCCAAGTTCTCCTTTGGGCTCTCAGTGTAAGCCAGAGCGACTGCCCTTCTAACGTAAGAAGGCCTGTGGAATCTCAGGTTGGGCGAGGAGGCCTCAGTTCTCACAAATGGCAAGAGAGGAGGTCAACCACGTTATTTTTCGCAGATAGACTCACAAGACTGAATGGACTTCATACCCCACCAAATATCCCTCCAGGTAGAAGAATAGTATGCCAGGGAGAAATATTCTAGCCTGCTGGCTTTCTATACAGAGGAATTTTTATTTTATTTTTTGGGCAGGAGAACACTGCGATGTGAGGTCCATATCCTGAAACAGATATGGCAGCCCATGAGCAGGTGTACCATTTCGCACTCGCTGCCCATAGGAGCAAGGTCTGAGTTTCGCCTTGGAAGGAACTTTCTGGAACGTTTGCAGTATATGTAGCTCTTTGGCTAGTGTCTCAGTCAAGTGACACTGGACAGAGGTCTTCCGTCATGAGACGCTCTCATTCCCTCCCGACACATGGCAGCTAAAAAGCTTGTGACAGCACACAAGGAAGAAAGCTTTATTGTTCCCGGAAGACGAAAGCCAAAAGGATTCCCTCTCAAGCTGAAATTGGGCAAATGGTCAGAATTCATTTGGCTTCATGAATCGGCAATATTTTGCAAGTTCTGCTTTTGAAATCTGTTTGAGTCTTTTACAAAACAAGAAAGGAAGGAAAGATTCGCTGGTCAATGTATTTTAAAGGCAGCCCTTTCAAGTTTTCAATTCCGTGCTTCGACGCTGTCCTCTTGTTTCCATTCTCCCGGTTCAAAACCCCCAAATTCAGCAGCTTTCCTAAACAGTCATGTTGAGAAATAAAACTGACAGAATCGGTTTGGATTTCTGCAGTGCTGATTCAAGCTAGGAAAATGTGCTCTTCTGGGCGTCTTTTGGGGAACAGGTGGAGGCAAATCATAGAATCATATAGTTGTAGAGTTGGAAGGGACCCCGAGGGTCATCTAGTCCAACCCCATGCAATGCAGAAATCTTCTGCCCAGTGTGGGGCTCAAACCCACGATTCTGAAATTAAGAGACTCATGCGCAACCAACTGAGCTACCCCAACAGTTGTCAGCTGGCAAATGAATGGAAATCTACCCTTTCTACAGTAGGCTAATTTCTACAAAACACACACTCCTCTGTTTTCCATCCAGACGATCCAAGAGTCCTGTATTGTTTTCCATCTTTCCTCTCAGGCGGGGATGGGGAACCGTTTTCTGGCTGAGGGCCACATTCCCTTCTGACCACCCTTTCAAGGGCCACATGCTAGCGGTGGCAGAGCAATAAATATGAACGTTACCCTTGTATGGTAAGCCAGTTCCTGCCTACCCTCACACAACTCTCTGTACACCCAGGTGGCTAAGAGCCATCATCTGAGTCAGGGACACATTCCAGCCAGGCAGAAACTCAATGAGGGTGTGGGGTGGAGCTGGGGAGGGATATGACCTGCAGAGAGGGGTATGGTTTGGGGAGAGTCCCACGGGATAGATAGAGAAGTCCAGAGGGCCATGTTTGCCCCTTCCCCCCGGTTTTATTTTATTTTATTTTATTAATAATTTTTTATTAAAGTTTAAAACAAGAAAACAAGAAAAACAACACACACAAAAAACAATACAAAACTTAACAATAAAAACACAAAACACAACAATTAAAAACAAACTCTCTTTTTCATTTCCAATTTTAAATTACTTATTTTCTAGACTTCCTCAAACCTCCCTCTTTTGTATTCCAGTCCACATTATTTGTCCAGCAGTTTCTTTTCCACTTTTTTAATCCCAATCTTTAATTTAATAAAATATTAAAATATATAACTTCAACTTTTTTTAAACCTAATCCTTGATCTTAATATCATATAACTTTAAAATTTTCCCTTTTAATATCAAATTTCCATTTCTTTAAACATCTTTAATCTTGATCTTTAATCTTAATCTATCCTTAACTTTAACCTGTGCAGCTGGAAACCACTTGTTTTCAGTCCAACATCACTCTAACATTCCTTAATTTTACAGTGTTTCTGAAGATAGTCTTTAAATTTCTTCCAGTCTTCCTCCATCGACTCTTCTCCCTGGTCACGGATTCTACCAGTCATTTCAGCCAGTTCCATATAGTCCATAAGTTTCATCTGCCATTCCTCCAGCGTGGGAAGTTCTTGTGTCTTCCAATACTTTGCGATGAGTATTCTTGCTGCTGTTGTTGCATACATAAAGAAAGTTCTATCCTTTTTTAACACCATTTGGCCGACTATGCCCAGGAGAAAGGCCTCTGGTTTCTTAGGGAAGGTATACTTAAATACATTTTTCAATTCATTATATATCATTTCCCAGAAAGCCTTAATCTTTGGGCACGTCCACCAAAGGTGAAAAAATGTACCTTCAGTTTCTTTACATTTCCCTTCCCCCCGGTTTTAGAGTCTCCATCCCTGATAGATCTTCACGAAGGGACAGTCAAACTAGTAGGGCAGCAGAATTCCAGGGCTCCCAGTCCAATCTGGATAATCCTTTAAGGGTTAGGAGGACAGGACCCGCTTCCCAATTCTCACACCCCGTTTTTCTAATTTTCACCATTCTTTTCCCTAGGGACGTTGGGGAATTCTGGCGGTTAATAGAAACGGGAGCAGAAATTGCCAACGTTCACTTATTAGCCTCTTATCCGCAACAGAAATCGATCCAGCAAATATGCTGCGGCTGTCGCTTTTGGTTTGCAGATGCTATGTAATTGGTCACATACACGTTTGCATTGTGTTTCCTTTGCACTGAAATGAATGTGGTGGAGTTATTATTTCATTATTTATTAAATTTGTATGTCACCCTTCCATCTGTAGATTTCAACACAGTGGAACCTAGGTTTTCGAACTTAATCCATTCCGGAAGACTGTTCGGCTTCCGAAAAGTTTGAAAACCGAGGATCAATGGGATAGCTGCAAAGTCAACAGGGGGAAATGAAAATTGTGGCTCGGAAGCTGTTCGGCTTCTGAAAATCGTTTGAAAACTGGAGCAGTTACTTCCAGGTTTTCAGGAGCCGAAACGTTCCAAAATGGAGGAGTTCAGGAACCAAAGTTTGACTGTACACAATATAAAACAGACAAAATAATGCAGCAAGAAAGGAATTTGCAGAATTGATGATGTAATGATGACATTGTTTAAGGCACAATGTAATTTCAGCACAGCTGATTCTTTGGGCAGAAGGTGAATTGCAGCAGAACAGAAAGAGTACTGCATGGGACACGAATACAGGGTGGAGCAGAAAGCAACGCCTTCTTACACCCCTACTTTCTGTTAGCTGCTACTTTCTCTCCACATATATGAATGAACAAACGTGACCATTCACTTCTATGGAGCTAGGGTGAAGGGGCTCCCCTTAGACTCTGGAGAAGAGGCAGCATGATAGAAGTTTATAGAATTTTGCATAGCATGGAGAAAGCAGAAACAGAAATGCATTTCTCATAAGACTAGGAGTCGTGGGCATCCAAGTGAGCTGAATAATAATAATATAATAATAATAATAATTTATTACTTATACCCCGCCCATCTGGCTGGGTTTCCCCAGCCACTCTGGGCAGCTTCCAACAAAATATTAAAATACAGTCATGCCTCAAACATTAAAAGCTTCCTTAAACGGCTGCCTTCAGATGTCGTCTAAAAGTCTGGTAGTTGTTGTTCTCTTTGACATCTGGTGGGAGGGTGTTCCACAGGGTGGGTGCCACTACCGAGAAGGCCCTCTGCTTGGTTCCCTTTAACTTGGCTTCTCGGAGTGAGGGCAGCTGTCTACCAGCTCCATCAGGCACGCAGGCTGAGACCCTACGTGCCCGCGGACTGTCTCGCCAGAGTGGCACTGCCAGAAGGCCCTTAGAGTTGGACCTCAGTGTCTGGGCAGAATGATGGGGGTGGAGACGCTCCTTCAGGTATACTGGACCAAGGCCGTTTAGGGCTTTAAAGGTCAGCACCAACACTTTGAATTGTGCTCGGAAACGTACTGGGAGCCAATATAGGTCTTTCAAGACCGGTGTTATGTGGTCTCGGCGGCCGCTCCCAGTCACCAGTTTAGCTGCCGCACGCTGAATTAGTTACAGTTTCTGAGTCACCTTCAAAGGTAGCCACACGTAGAGCGCATGGCAGTAGTCCAAGCAGGAGATAACCAGAGCATACACCACTCTGGCGAGACAGTCCATGAGCAGGTAGGGTCTCAGCCTGCGTACCAGATGGAGCTGCCCTGGACACAGAATTGACCTGTGCCTCAATGGACAGCTGTGAGTCCAGAATGACTCCCAGGCTGCGCACCTGGTCCTTCAGGGGCACAGTTACCCCATTCAGGACCAGGGAGTTCTCCACACCTGCCCGCCTCCTGTCCCCCAAGAACAGTACTTCTGTCTTGTCAGGATTCAACCTCAATCTGTTAGCCACCATCCATCCTCCAACCGCCTCCAGACACTCACACAGGACCTTCACCACCTTCACTGGTTCTGATTTGAAAAGAGGTAGAGCTGGGTATCATCCGCATATTGATGGAACATGAATGTTGGGAAATTCAGGACAGATTAAAAAAAATACTTCATACAGGTCAAAGTCCCTGTGTGGCTTTTCCCCGATCCCAAAGTCAGCCACCAGAGGGCAATATGTGCAAAGACATCATTTACTTTCTCACCCTGTTTGCATGAGCATTTTTCTGATAAGTCTTCCAGCTTCCATGGATTTTTTTTAAAGGCACAAATCCCCAAAGTACTTGTTGTTTTCCTAGTTACACACTGTCAGGCAAACAGTACATTGCTTCCAAGATCGTTTTACTATAGAAAGTACAGCTTAAGGGAGGGGAAAGGTTGAATAAGGGCCCTTGTTGGTATAACTGTAGTCTAAATCACTGAGTCTCTTGGGTTTGCCGATTGGAAGGTCGGCGGTTCGAATCTCTGCCATGGGGTGAGCTCCCGTTGCTCTGCCCCAGCTCCTGCCAACCTAGCAGTTTGAAAGCACACCAGTGTGAGTAGATAAATAGGTATCACTACGGCAGGAAGGTAAGCAGTATTTCTGTGCTTTCTGGTTTCCATCATGGTGTTCCATTGCACCAGAAGTGGTTTAGTCATGCTGGCCACATGACCCAGAAAGCTGTCTGTGGACAAACGCCGGCTCCCTCGGCCTGAAGCGAGATGAGCGCTGCAACCCCATAGTTGCCTTTGACTGGACTTAACTGTCCAAGGGTCCTTTACCTTTCTTTTACCTAAGTTGAACTGCTACCTGGTCCATTTGTAAGAATCCAATGAGTGGCTGCTGTACTCGAGTTGTTTTCTCAGAGCTAGTACCATTTGCTGGAAGCATGAGGAGGGGAGAGACCTGTGGTGTTCAGGTCTTGCTTTTGGGCACCCCCCATGGGCCTCTGATTGGCCACTGTGAGACCAGGATCACGAAGCAGATGGGCCAATGGGCCTGATCCAAAAGGCTCTTCTTCAGTTCTTCTGTTGGTGATGCAGTTCCTCTGCTGACAGTGCATAAACACATCATGCGGATGGCCAAGTCGACGCTTGTTGACTCACAGCTGAATGTATAACCCGATTATATCCACCGTGATGATCTTTGATAGGTGATGACTCAGTCACACGCAAAGAGTCAAAAAGATTCACCGAGCAATGACTGGGTATGTACGAACTGGTACAGTGGTACCTCAGGTTAAGTACTTAATTCGTTCTGGAGGTCCGTTCTTAACCTGAAACTGTTCTTAACCTGAAGCACCACTTTAGCTAATGGCGCTTCCTGCTGCTGCCACGCTGCCGGAGCCCAATTTCTGTTCTTATCCTGAAGCAAAGTTCTTAACCTGAAGCACTAATTCTAGGTTAGGGGAGTGTGTAACCTGAAGCGTATGTAACCTGAAGCGTATGTAACCTGAGGTACCACTGTATGCTCAATCCTCGTGACAGAGAATTCAAGGGGTGAGTGCCAACAGTGAATGTTTGGAGGATGGGTGAGTATATGCCTGCGCTGCCCAGGGCGGGCGCGCTCCCGAGGAGGGTGTGGCGCGGAGGGTGCCCTCCCAGGCACGGGATAGCCGCTCGGGTGCTCGGAGTGGTGCGCATGCCCTGCAGCCAGGGGCGGAGCGAGCCACCCATGCCGGACATTCAGCTCGCCACCCACCCACGACTCCCAAGTCTCCCCCAAGCTGCCAAAACAAAGGGGGGAGGGGGGAATGCTGCCGGCAAAGCGGCGTAGCTCCCCCCCCTTACTCTGTCGGCTTGGGGTAGGCTTGGGAGTTGCAGGCGAGCTACGCGCCCAATGTCACCCGCCTCCGTCAGGGCACCAGGGGCAGTCCGCCTGCACCCCCCTTCCTACGCCCCTGGGTTGAATCCTGACAAGACAGAAGTACTGTTTTGGGGGGACACGGTGTGGGCGGGTTTCGGGACTCCCTGGTCCTGAATGGGGTAACTGTGCCCCTGAAAGACCAGGTGCACAGCCTGGAAGTCATTTTGGACTCAGAGCTGTCCATGGAGGTGCAGGTCAATTCTGTGTCCAGGGCAGCTGTCTACCAGCTCCATCTGGTACGCAGGCTGAGACCCTACTTGCCCGCAGATTGTCTCACCAGAGTGGTGCATGCTCTAGTTATCTCCCGCTTGGGCTACTGCAATGCGCTCTACGTGGGGCTGCCTTTGAAGGCGACCCGGAAACTGCAACTAATTCAGCATGTGGCAAGTAGACTGGTGACTGAGGTTCGCAGAAGTACAAAACTTAACGAAACAAAACCTCCTTAAAGCCCCCAAAACAGTCCAATGAGGGCTAAGGATGCTCAGTAACCATCACTCTATTGATAAAGAAAAATAGAAAATGTGGTGGAGGAGGAATGGAATGGAGTATCCTGGAGATGGGTATGACTGGATGGAGGGAGCTCTTCCAACAAACCCTTTTAAGTGGAGATCTTTCCCAGTCTGCATCTGTACTGGAATTGTTTGTAAGATGGTTTTATTTTTACTGTTTCATCGAATGTCGTTTGCTGCCCTGGGCTCCATTGGGAAGAAAGGTCAGATTTTCATAACAGTACTATAACTCTGAACAGGAGCACTCCTGCTAGGAGGTGAGGGTGTGCTGCAACATTTAGTTGCAGGTCTCGCTTGCTTCCACCTATTCATTAGCTTGCAAGAACAAAGAAAAAAGGCCTTGCATCCTCTTCGTGCCTGAAAGGAATCCCATATCCCTCCGGTAGGTGGTGCTACATGTATATATAGTGTCACCATGTAGTCAAGTCCTGCAGAAAAAGTGTTCTGGAGCAGAAAGTGGTTGTCATCCTTTCTAACCCACATGGGGGCGGTAGCATTCCAGCAATGGGAGGCCTAAAGATCTGGTTCTCTAAGGGGATCAGAGTAGCATCCAAGGGCCAACGAGAGAGACCAAAGCAAATAAGAAGTAGGGAAGGGGGACAAATTTGGTTTCAGTTCAAATTTTAGTGAGAAGTTACCTATTTTGCACTTTCCAATACAATGCAAGAATGGAAATACAGCCCTCCTTCAAAATTTTTCACTTCTCTGAATTTCGAGGTGCAGTTCTACGTTGAAATCATGTGTGCACAAATGCATATTTTAAGAGAAAGTGCACCTAATGCACAGATTAGGTGAAAACAAGGCGCGAGCATGCATTCTATTAAGGAAATTTGCTTGTATGTGTGTGTGTTAGGCAAAACTGCATGCAAGCATTGTGCATGAAGAGAAATGCTGACAAATTTTCACGAGGGCTTCTTTTAATTGCAGATTGATGCATAAATGTGGAGAACTGAATTTAAAATTAAAAACCAAAATTGACAAATTCATCTGTTCCAGGTGAGGGGGACTTTGAGTTCTCATAGAGACCCTCTGGCAAGAAAGCTACTTTCGGATCTAACACTTCCTTCAGCCACCCACCTATGATTTGCTATTGCCCTTTAATCTTCCCTAACTTTCTAGTTAGCCTAGGGCTTGCCGATTGGAAGGTCAGCGGTTCAAATTCCCATGGCGGGATGAGCTCCCGTTGCTCTGTCCCTGCTCCTGCCAGCCTAGCAGTTCGAAAGCACGTCAAGTGCAAGTAGATAAATAGGTACCGCTCCAGCGGGAAGGTAAATGGCATTTCCGTGCGCTGCTCTGGTTCGCCAGAAGCGGCTTAGTCATGCTGGCCACATGACCCGGAAGCTGTACGCCGGCTCCCTCTGCCAATAAAGCGAGATGAGCGCCGCAACCCCAGAATTGTCCGTGACTGGACTTAACTGTCAGGGGTCCTTTACCGTTACCTTTTAAAACTTTCTAGTGCCCTCCTCCTTTTTGTGGATGCCCTTCTAGCAGGGGGGTAGCGTGGGGGCTGCCGGAGGGGCCGTGGCCCAGGGCAGGGACTTTTCAGGGCATGAAGCAGGCACCCCCCACGCAGGCATCCAATGCATGCCCCAGTCCAGAGCTCCTCTCCTGGCATTGGAGGAACCAACATTTGTGGAGAGGAGTACCCTGATGGGTTGAACTGGGGGAACTGGCGTGGGGGTGCCTGGTTTGCACCTGCCAAGTGCCACGTTGGGTGGCCGGGATCCCTATGGGGGGTGGGCAGGTGGTTCAGCACATCCCTGCTTGTCTCCAGTGCAGTGCAGGGTCACTCAGGCGGTGTGGCAAGGGCTGGGGTTCCGTGGTGGGCTCCTTCACCCTCCGCTCTCCACCCCCTGGCATGTGTGCACCCCTCCAGCACTGACCCTTCCTGCTGCAGCCTCGCCACTTGCCCTTATGCTCAGTTTATTTATGTGTTTGCTGGGCCGGGGGATAACCTGTGAAACGCAGTCCAGAATCTGAAAGTTCCACTGGGATTCAGTCCGACAGGGCCAAGGCAGGAAACCAGGCAAGGACAGGTACAGGATCTCAGGCAGGATCTAGCATACAGCAACCTGGGGCGGGGTCCGACAACCTTTTATCTTTGTTGGGGTAACGGCCAGTCCTGATCCCCCGATGACTCACTTCCCTGTTTCGCCCGAAGGCGAGCCCTCCTCCTGCGAGTACTTAGGTCTCTTCTTCTCTCAGACCTGAGTCTCTGCAGCTCGGGAGACATCGGTGGGTTACTAGACCCAGGGGCCGCCTCAGCCTCCCCTGTCCCAGGGGAGCAGCTGTAAGTGATGGCCCAGCTGAAGGCAAAGAGGTCATCCCCACCTCTGGAGCCAGGGCAGGCTCAGGCCCCTGACTCGGCGCAGCTGGTGTTTGTTGCAGGGGAACCTGTGCAGACTGGGACTCTTCAGGATTAGGCCTCAGACTTGGTTCAGATGATGCCTGAGGCAAAGGATCTGGTGCAGACTGAGTCTCCTCTGGTTCTGAGTCCAAGCCCTAGTCCCAGGCCATCACAATGTACACAATAATCCTCAAACACAGGATTAGCTGCTTTGGTTTTAAACCCACAAATCTCCCTTCTACGGCAGAGATATCAAAAGCACAGGGGCCCATCTTTCTTTCCATGTGGTCACACCATTCCCAGCATACAAAAAACCCGAAAACCTAGAGGGTGATTGCTTGAATCTGTGCTTAATTCGTGATTCTGTTGCTGTGTCTAAAATCACAGTGGCTGCAATCTTACGCATAAAACTTATGCAACTGCTACTGAACTCAATGGGACTTCCTTCTGAAGAGGTGAGCATAGGCTTACTCGATAAATGACACCTGTATTGCAGACATCTCTTGGGGGAAAAGAAGACTCTTACGAAGCACGTCTGTGCAAAGGAAATTCGCAAAGGCTCCTGTGATTTATGGCCCTGGTATTTTCCCTTTCCCTGCTCCAGACAGTAGATGCACCCAGAGGTTTGTAAGCCCTCTTGTCCTTCCTTACCCCCAAAGACACACACAAACTCCTTTTATTTTTATTTTTTCCACGCATCCGCAGCCTGCAGCCAGCCAAATTTCAAGTAGGGAAACTTTGGAGTGGTTTGACGTCAAGGAGAGTTTGGTCAGCTTTGTCCCTTTGCTGGGGAAACGGTGCCCTTGGATTTTCAAATCCTCGGCTGCTGAATTAAATTGGCAGAGTTCTAGGGCTGTCTGAAAGAAGGGGTTGTTTTCGCCCTTCAGCCAGAGCCAGGGAGCTGGACGGACATTTAATTGAGCTTGGTTATGTCTCAGTGGCATTTTGTTCTTATAAACACCAGCACCGATGGGGTGGATAAGGGGAAACTATCAAATATGCAGCTAAGAGCCTCCATTTTATTTATTTATGCACTATTCCCTAATGCTCTCACCTTAAGTTTTGGATGCGATGTGTCCTGATGTTTTGGACACCGTGTCCAGTTCTTGTTGCCTCACTTCAAACAACGTATTGCGAAGTTGGAAAAGGTTCAGAAAATAAGGCAACCATAAACATAAAGGGGATGAAGCGACTCCCATCTGAGAAGAGGTCGTAGTGTTCAGGACTTTTGAGTTCAGAGAAAAGGCAAGGAAGAAACGACATGTGAAGAGTTTATAAAATTATGCATGGCATAGAG